ATACCCAAATATTAGCTAAGAAAAATATAAATTAACTAAATACTAGCCCCTTGTGTACCTCAAGGTTCCGTTCTGGGGCTATTATTAATATATAACCTTGTTGGGATTATGCTGATTTACCTATCTTCACATATGTTATATAGAAAATAAATCGCGACTTACAAAGTGTAACATTATTTCATTTACTCGCAGATGATCTCCACTTATTTTTAATTATAATTGAAATAGTTCCATGTTATGTAAAACAGTTAGGACACTTTGGGATCTTTTCTTTTGTTATAAGCTAACAAGATAGTGTGTCACTTGTGTAGTGTCCCAATTGACATTCATATAAATATCTTAGAAACTCAAAAATACATATTACCTGTATATTCTATTATTAGGTCTCACATGTTTTTACTTATTTTATAAACTATTAAGATAATCCACACAAATTCAAAAAAAAAACGTAAAATTTTTTTGGATTTTGTGTATTAGCCTAATACCTACCTTAAAAAATGAGTAAAAACATGCTAGAAACTATTCAACGAAAACTCGTGGTGTATACCATCTAGTGAATAAGTCCATGAGAAATGCTTATTTTTTTTATTCGATTCCCACCTATAAATTGCTGCTGGTTCTGAAGGACGGTGTAAATAAACGGATAAATATAGGTACAAACATTTTGCTACTTTAAAAGATAGTTGTCATCAGCGTCCCATTGTTAGCGTTCATTTTAAGATCAGCGCAGCATCTGCGGGGTCATACACTTTGTTACATATCAGAATCGGGTCAACATCTCCGTACCTGGAAACCACATCCTGCACTTTATGTAATACGGCGCATAATATGGTTCATGAGGCTGAACTCCAGGACATCAACTAGAATATTTTATAACGGCTTATGGATACATTAAACATAAGTTTACCGGGAAAGCCACAAATGCATTGGAATTTATACCGGCTTTAGTCGATTTCAGTGAGAAATATATCGTGTATAAGTTGGCTGTTTATGATAATGGCTGGACGTTATATTTTAAACTTAGCAGGATGCGATTAAGATCACGTTCATGTCTGGATCCTATTTTTACGTAGATTGTGAATTCTACAGGGATGTTTCACAAAACAAGATTTATCTGTTCGTTCATAACCCTCATAAATTGTCTGTATGAATAGTGTTTGTTAATGGTACCAGAGCTGAGATATTTGCTCTATGCTTCCGACAATTTGTACATGAAATGAGTTAGTTTTTCAACTTCACAGTTGAAGGTCTCTTAGCGAATGGTGCAAAATACAGTAACGGCTCGTATGTTATCCATAACAAAATTATACAAACAAATAACATTGGGAAATCGTTGTAGTTTTATTCTCTCCATTGAAAGAATGTCATCAAAACATAAACGAGTTACTGTGGTTAATCGAACCCACCTTTTGTTTTTTCTATCAGTTCATTAGCACTTATAATTTTGTTTAATAATGTAGGTAATTCCTATGTTTATTTGTGAAAGTGCATACCTGATAAAATAATTTATTTCTATGGCACATTTTCTTTGTCATTATCACAGAAACCACAATATTTAACAGGGCGTGCAGCTGCCCCTCCCTGCGTAGAACAGTAACTAGTAGAACACTTAATACCGGTGACATTTATACTAAGAATAAATTAACAGGCAAGTGTTGGTTTATTTATTGGTATGCATTTGGTGTACTATCAGAAACAAGTAGCATTACGCTTCAGAAATATAAATCAGATATCGGTCATTAAAAGTCCAAAGATCCGGTAAACGAGGTGACATGAATTCACTTCGGAATACTCTGTCAATCAGAAATATATTTTGAATATGTGTAATATATATATTTCTCTCTTTCCTCATTTTCTACAGTTTAATTCCTCTATTTCCTTCTCTTGTTCTCTTTTTTTGTTTTTCTTGTTAGTGGTCTTGTTTAATTCATAATACACTATTTATGTCTATTTTCTTTGTGTCTAATAGTTTCAATTGTAGTTTTATTCCAAATATTACAATTGAACAACAAGTTTTAGAACAGCTCTAAATCTAAGTTAAATCTAAATTCATAGCACAGTTATATGTTGCATTTCTTGTACCTGTAGAAAATGCTCTATAATGCTGATAGCATATAATTATGTATAATTATTACACCATTTTGTTTTATACTAAAAATAATTGAATATTAATTTAGATTTCTGGTACTAGAACCAATATTTAAATTAATTTCCATTTGCAAAAAAAATCGTCGGGCATAAAAGTCACAGTCATTTCCTTTAGAAAGCTATCAGTAATTGCCACACTACGATTTATTTTAAAAACGACTACTATTATCTGGAATTAATTACACGCAGTTATTGAAAGCAGCTATTTCCAGCTATGCATTAGTTGCCTTTATTACCTATTCGATCAACACAACAGGAGGCGTTAAGTCCAAGGAAGCAGATAATTTTAACTTCCTTATGGGTGTCGCATCTGTTGACATTACTTTTCGGAGAATGCTACTCCTTAACTCTTCAGGTTTAATTAAAAAAGACTAGGACTTTTATAGTCAGACTTGAAATAATTTAAATCCGATAATACTCAGGTGACGTTTATAGCAGCGGATGTGTTGATGAAAAATGACAGTCCTAAGCTGTATATTATTTGGAAGGATCAGGAAAATTGTTAAAAATTTTCTCTCAGTTACGTAAGAAGTTTATATCGAAGAAGTAAACTTAAAATACTAATTAAGTCTCAAACATAGCAAAAATCTATTTATATATGCACCTTGTTTGTTCTATTTGACCACAACCGAAGTAGTGTTGAAAGCAGTCTTCATAAACACCAACGTCTTATGACACACCATCTCAATGTACATAAAAGATATTTATTTAACCTGTCATTTTAGGAGATGCAACTTGATTTGGGAATGAAATAAAGCAGTATATTTTTTTACGAGGCCATTAATGGATCATTAAATATACATTATGTTTAAAAGATTTGCATAAAACAATTTTGTAACTTCCATTATTACGAGGTCTGTTCAGTAAATAATCGAACTTTATTGTTTTGGTGAAAGTGTGGGAGGACAATAATCTAATTTTTAGCACAAAACTGACAAAGCTGAGTGTGCGGGCGCATTGTCATGGTGCAAGAACCATGAGTTGTGGTGTTTTCCTTGCTTTTATTGACTCGTGTTCCCAATGTACCGGTACAGTTACCTATTTATACAAATATTGTTACGTCCCTAATTAATCATGTGATATTCAAGGCGACTAAACCGCTCGCTAAACCATTTTACCTGCATTTGAAGTAACAGCCAGTAAATGCATAAAAGATGAACTGCCAATAGCAACAATAAAGAATTTCTTGATAAACAACGACAAAGATTATGTTTTATGTATTAATACTGATATAAAGCGGCAGTAATAACATTTAAAACAATCAATAATTTATCACAATAAGCCGGTTATTATCGTTATGTTGAACGTACACCGTCATGTTTAATTGAAATTCCTGAGTAATGCGATTTATGAGTATGGTTTATTTGTAAATATTGCATTGTTCAGTGTTGAAGCGTTCTTATTTAATCCATAGTATAGAAACGTAAAAATTTCATAATGTGTGCATTTACTTCATTGTCTTGAGGATATAAAATGCATTCCGCCTTTCAAAAAACCTTCTAAATGTTGTTCCTCAACGGAGTATTCAAACTATTACAAACTGAAGGTATATACATATTTGCTTAAACCATCATCTTCAAGGGGCTGTAAGGTCAACTTAAGTTGGAACTAATTGTGCAGTACTTAGGTGTTTCTTAAATAATCTGTAAAGATAATGTCCTTAATTATTACTTTTGATTCAAATCAGTTCTTGGTTTCATGAACTGGATCAGTAAAAATTCTTGCTCCAATTGTGCCAGCTGAATAGACCTCAGTGTGTTTAGACTTTTTCAATTCTAAACAAAACACGTTCTATTTCTGTTCCATCTGCATTTGCTTTTTCGAAAACAATTCCGCGATATCCGATCAAAAGTACAATTTGTTTCCTGGTCTCATGCGATTAGGCCTATATTTCATAATTCCACATAAATCTCTAACCTTATCTGCCAAGTTCTCGGTAATGTTCTTAATGTTATCAACGGAATTATTTTTACTCTTGGCATTTGCGATATAAATAAACCACAGTGGAGACATCTTTTTTTCATCTCAATAGCAGGCTTATTTGTGCTCGACAATAAGCTTTTGTTATCCGCAGCGATACATCAATATCAAGTCGGTCGCCTTCCTCGGGATAAAAATAATGTCGACATGATATCGTTGCTTTTCCATTCATTATCATCTGTTTGGTATTTACGTTATTGCAAATGAAATTAATTGATTGTTGGCGATATCTATCGGTTTTGTATTGCAAATGCCTGTATGATGATAGCAACTTATTTAAAAAAGTAATGATAGAGAAATAATATTTAACTTTGAAAACAAATTAAACGTTTTAATTAAATCATATTCGACATATCAACTGCTTGGATTTGAAGCAGACTTTTCTTCAGTGGTACTATTTTTTTCAAACAAAAACCATTTATTAGTTCTTCCTTTATTGAGAATTGGGTAAATTGTTTCCTTTAAAAATGAATTCCATGTTTTTCAGAATAATTAGATTAAAGAATCGAAATCGGTAATTTTTCAGAACATAAAGAAATCAAAGAACCCTAATGAGATGAAAACAAAGTTTTTTTAAGTTGCTTGATGCTTACGTTGCATTCGAACCCGCTAATTCGAATAAAAAACATTGCTATGAGCTCAAGAACAGTTTAGAAGTTGACCCTTGTGGCAAAATTACAAATATATTTTTCGCTAATTTCTAGTAATAATTGAATCTTTATTTTTTATCGAATTATCATATATTTATGTGGAAGGTCATTGACCAAACGACCCTATATAGAAACCGCCAGTGGTTGAATCAATGTTAATCTTGAATCACTCAGCATAATAATTCGCATTGTACTATTCTCGTTATCTCCGTTTATTTTTAGACCCGCCAAGACTTATCGGCATCTGGCGTCGAGGCTGGTCACCCGGAAAAACTACCAAAGACTCGTCCCACCAACCCCAGAAACCGACTGGACCAGGGAGTCATGACCCAGAGCTGCCCCACTCCCCCGCAATCAAGGAGGAAATTCTTCTTGAGCCCCAAGGGTCTCAGGAGCCCCTTCGTGAGCAGGAACGCTAGGCAGCAAGGCGACGTGGCGGCCTTATCTGGTAGGTGAACGATAATTTTAAGTGTGCATTAGCAGTTTCAATAACTCATCGGGGAATTTATTTTACTTGTATCTCCTAGCAGCGTGTCGATTTTTTAAACAAAGTGTCACCAGAGAGTGATATCGGAACATCGGAATTAGCATCCAATTTTGTTGTTAATGTAGGAAATGCTATAATTTTGAACGAAAGCAGAATCTATTCTCCCATACTGTTAGCATACGTCATAGTGAAGATTCCAGGCTCTCCACTATTTCCGTACCTTTATTCTTACCCACAATTAATCAAGTTTACCCCATCGCTAATGCACTTTATCAAACAATTGTAAAATAGAATTGTTTATTTCTATGGAAATAACTGATTTGTGTGACTATATACACTGCTCAAAATAATTAGAGGAACACTTATTTAAATCTCAATAACTTTTTTATTTGTAATACTATATAAATCTAATAGTGCATAGCTTAAAGACTAACATTTTGTTCGAATAAATTTACGAAAATAAAACAAATTTACATAATCATTCTTGAGACAATAGTACCAATTCAAAAAAACTACAAGAAATAAAATGAAACATACAATCAAAATTTCAATTTAGAAATGTGCTGTGCCTTGGAATAGTAAACAATGTTGACAGTTCCGCATAAATTGTAAAAAATGAGGCATCTAAGTGAAGTTGAAGTCGTTCGTGTTGTTGCTAGTATAGAGTATGGTACCAGTATTCGACAGGTTGCAAGAGATTTTAACGTAAGCCCTTCTGTCATCCATCGCGTGTAGAATCGTTACTGAGAAACCGGAGGATATAAAAGACGCATTGGACAAGGTTCTAAAAGGAAAACAAACCGAATTCAGGACAGGTTTTTAGTCATATCCTCCTTGCGTTCTTGTACATCCACAGCAAAAGACCTTCAAAGTAGGCTCAGAACGACTCATGGGTTGGAAATTTCCGATCAGACGGTTAGGAATAAACTGAGAGAAGCAAACTTGAGACCAAGAAGACCCGTGCGAAAACCTATTTTAACTCCATATCACATAAGGTCTCGTTTACATTTTGCACGTGAGCATGTGACATGGCAACTTCGATATTGGAGACCAGTACTCTTCACAGATGAGTCACGATTTCGTTTAAGTCGTTGTGATTGTCGAGTACGTGTATACCGACGTCCACATGAACGTCATTCTTCAGCTACCATAGAAGAAGTCGAAAGATTTGGTGGTGGGTCAGTGATGGTTTGGGGCGGAATTAGTATTGATGAAAGAACCGATCTTGTCATAGTTCCAGGGACTCTAACCGCTGAACGATACATTGATCTCATTCTAGAAGATCATGTTATACCAGCCGCTTATGGTATAGGTCCAAATTTTCTGTTTATGCAAGATAACGCAAGGCCACATACTGCGATTATCACCATGAACTACCTTCAACATCACGGGATTCAATCCATGGATCGCTAAGTCCTGATCTAAACCCCATCGAACATCTTTGGAATTTGTTAGATAGGCGTGTTCGGAGGCGCCCAGACCCACCTCAGACTCTCCAACAGTTAACAAATGCCCTAATCGAAGAATGGGAGAATATACCACAAGACATTCGTAGGCTCATCCGAAGCTTACCACGGAGGTGTCAAGCAGGAATTCGTGCTAATGGAAGACATACACGATATTAGTGAACCAAATCTCACCAGGACCTTTATGTTATACAGACAGGATCACAGACTCTTCACTTTACTTCTTGTAGTTTTTTTGAATTGGCGCTGTTGTCTCAAGAGTGATTATGTAAATTTGTTTTATTTTCGTAAATTTATTCCAACAAAATGTTAGTCTTTAACATATGCATTATCAGATTTATATAGTATTACAAATGAAAAAGTTCTTGAGATTTAAATAAGTGTTCCTCTAATTATTTTGAGCAGTGTAGTTGTTAAAAAGATACTTCTAATGAACAATCTTCCAGAAACTACATTATTTTCACGTCTTTGCACACATCTTTTAAAAGAATATAGGTATTTAAAAAATAGGAGATATATCTACCTACCTATTTAAAGATTTCTGTAAACTATAAGTAAATAATATAAATAAATGTCACAATGTCGTGCGTCTAGTGTTGCAAATGACACATTGCAACAACAACAAATATGTCGATAATTTATTCCTACCCTTTCAATTAGCGGTCTGTCGATTTGTATATATTTTTAAATAGAAAGATACCCACTATCCATTTCAGTCGTCGCCTCGAAATAAATAGGTAAGTGTAAGTGTAATCTCAGGCCCCTTTTTCCGTCTATTTATAGACGGTGTAGTCGTCCCCCTTCGTGTCTCGCGCCTCGGAGACACATTTCCTCGGAAAAAAATCCCTCTGTCGTCTGCATTTTTACCTGCCCACCGCGCTGTCGCGCCAGGAGTACCCACGGAGCGGATATGCGCTGTCCCACGTGCGACGCCCGCGAGATAATCGACCTTTGACCCCACGTAAATCGCGGATCACTGAATGTGATGTGCGACGCCCAGGCAATGTTGCCATATGCTAATCTCCGAATGTCAGGAAATTCACCAAAATTCTGGGCAATTTATGTATATTAAAATTATTGATAAAAAAATACGATTATAACTAGAACTACGACGACGTCAGTACAAATTAAAAAAAAATACTAATAATACACTCGTATTCTGTACAAATTCGTATTTCGATACATTAATTCACTCTTGTTTAAAATGTCGATCTTTTTAAAACCTGTGATCGTTCTGCAGCGGTAATGACCTCCTCAACAACTTCAAATGAGGGAAGACACTGGCCCAGCGTAGTTTTAGGGAAAATTCGTTCCTTATGGACAGCGGGGGCCTCTACTGCAAGCGCCGGCTTGAATCAACTAGTAGCATCAGGCACGGAAAAAAGTCATTACATTTCTGTTTTCCTTTTAGTCTTTATTTTTTATTATTTTTTTGTTCCCATTTTTTCGTTTGTTTGTTTATTATTGTTTTGAGCATGATTTTTTAACACACCATTAATTGTTGTTTACACTTGACAAGCGTGATATACAATATATGTGGTAACGATATTAATATGCGGTAATATTTATAGTTGCTCACATCACTTACTGTGGTAACAGCTTTTCACATTAAAGCATGCAATATTTTTTATCCCAAATGCATGTGAAAATGTACCACTGGCTGAATATATTGTAAACGTTTTGTCAAATCCATCTTTTTCTAGCACTTACACTTAGACTTTTTGCACTGTGTAATTTTTCTGCAATGCAAAATCATAACAATAGTTATTTCCTTCTTATAGATGACGAAGCAACCTTGAAACCTTCTGCAAATAAAAAGTCCTCCGAAAATGACATGTATATGAGACTCGGTCTCCTTCTTGGTGATGGCGCAAGACGTTCTAAAAGAACCCAAGGACGAAATCATGAATCATGTTCGTCATTAGCAAGCTACGAGACATCAGCCATGTTGTCAACTAACACTAGCCCTGTTTCAACCCTCACAGGAAGTTCTGAAGATCAACATAGAACAAATCCAAGCTCAGATAGCGTCGCATCATTAATGTCGATGTCGATGTCTGGCCAAAGTAACTGCAGTTCAAGCCCTGTTAGTAGGAGGCACAGTGTCACAAGTAATATATAAAAAATAATGATTTTTGTTGAAATTTCAATACAATATATTTTTTTAGCTACTCAACCTGGTCCAGTAGAAGATCTCAACATGTTCAGAAATAGGCGAACATGCATAAGAAGATCGGCGAGAACGGGAACAGTAAAAGGTCCCGTAGACCCGAAAATACGTTTTGCTCAGTACAGAACACCTCAACTTACCCTCAAACCTCTATTTTTCGAAGTCCCACTTCAAGAACCAGATCCTTTATTCCTTGGAAGACACTGGCTTATAAAGGAAATTGAAGATATTATTGGTAATTTTGTTAATCATTTTCTATACAGTTCATTCAATATCGAATTTTTCAGCTTCTTCCAGCCCTGGTGTCCTCCTCACTGGTAATCCAGGAACAGGAAAGACTGCACTTGTCCTTCAGCTGGTAGAATATAGTTGCTTTGGAAGAAGAAAAGAACCAGTCTACCAATCAATTCATTCCCCAGATCGATCTCGAAGTCCACAAAGTATCTATTATCAAATTGACCTTGTCTCAGAAAAAATCCGACAGTTAGCAAGCTGTATTGTAGCATATCACTTCTGTCAAGCCGACAACAACAACACCTGCTTAGTACCTGACTTTATCCATTCACTTGCTGCCCAGTTATGCCAAGCTCCACAGTTGACTGCGTACAGGGAACACCTGCTTAGTGAGCAACATTTGCAATCTGTGCTGTCACTCAAGGAGTGCATAGCTAATCCAGATATAGCTTTAACCAGAGGTATACTGGAACCACTAGCCAGCTTGAAAAGAATTGGTAAAATTGACAATATCAACTGTGTAATACTGGTAGATGCACTCTGTGAAGCAGAATACCATCGCCCTGATCATGGTGATACCATCACAACATTCCTTGTTAAACATATGCCGTCTTTCCCTAGTTGGTTGAAGATTGTGGCAACAGTTAGGACACAGCTACAAGAAGTTACCAAACAGCTGCCCTACACTAGGATCTCTCTAGACAATATACAAGCTAATGACAATATACAAAAAGACATTCTGGGATATATTAACTTTAGACTTCAGAACAGCCCCAGTATACAAAGCAACATCACCCTATCAACATCTGGAAAACTGGAAAGTGGAAGTGTGTCTCAACACAAGTTCTCTCAACATTTGTTGAATTTAAGTCAAGGTTCCTTTTTATTTGCCAAGTTAACTCTGGATCTGCTTGAAAGAGGCCAGTTGGTTGTAAAATCTTCCGGTTACAAAGTACTTCCAGTTACTCTAGCTCAGATTTACCTGTTACATTTTAATCTAAGATTCCCTACAATTCGTTCCTTTGAAAAAGTCACTCATATTCTAAGTGTGTGCTTATCTGCCCTATATCCGTTGACTCTCTTAGAAATCTACTATTCTGTAAACTCACTACTGGTAGACAACTTCTTACCCTGGTCCGAGTTCCTACAAAGATTTAAATTGCTCTCTGGTTTCTTAGTGAAACGTTTAGACAACACCTACATGTTCTTCCACCCTTCCTTCAGGGAGTGGTTGATTCGTCGTGATGACAATGAAGCTACAAAATTCGTTTGTGACCTTAGATCTGGACACGCTGGAATTGCCTTTAGACTGTCCAGAGTTCAAGCTCCTTTAGATTCTGAGAAGACCTTAGAATTGGGACATCACATATTAAAAGCCCATGTATACAGAAACATGTCTTTGCCAAATCTCAGTTCAAGAGACCTCCAAGCCAACTGGGTAGCGGAAAGTTCTGAAAATGTCTCGGCTGCAGTTTGTCACTTAAGAAATATGTATAGTCCTAACGTGAAAGTATCTAGGTTGCTGCTTCTAGCTGGAGCTTCACCTAATTACATCACTGACTTCCTAGGTAAGTAATTATTGGAAATCTGATGTAAAGGAGAAATCTATGTATTCTTTGTTACAGGAAATGCCCCCGTTTTGTGCATGTATGCCAATGAAGGCATAGTTCCAATGGTATCCCTTCTCCTTGAATTTGGAGCTGACGTGGAGCTAACTAACAGCCAAGGATGTACAGCGCTTTCTCTAGCTTCAGCAAAAGGTCACTGTGATGTCGTTAGACAGCTAATTGCTGCTGGAGCTTCTCCAGGCCATGCTGATACAGCAGGGTTCTGTCCTTTAGTTCATGCTGCCCGAAATGGTTGCCTCAATGTTGTTGGCTACCTACTCGCATGCGATTGGATTATCAAAACTCCAGAGGATGTGGAATTGACAGAAGCAGCTCAGCAAGCTTTGGTGGCAGCTGCTGGACAGGGACATACAGAGATTGTAGAATATCTACTAGATATGGCTGAAGTTAATGCTGATGTCCGTGACACTATAACAGGAGAGACCGCTTTGACTGTAGCTGCAGCAAATGGTTGCCATGCTGTTTGTTCAGCCCTTATCAACCGAGGCGCCAACATTTCTACAACCAACAAAAAGGAATTGGCACCTTTATTGTTAGCTGTTAAAGAGGGACATTGGGCTGTGGCTGAAAGACTGATTCAGAGCTATGCTGCTATTGAGCAGTGTGACAATACAGGGAGATCACCACTGATGATTGCTTCTTCTGAGGGTCACCTTGGACTAATTGAACTACTACTTGACAGAGGTAAGATACATTTTTCTTTGTTATTTTTTTCAAAGATTGTTACAATTGTGATTATTTAAGGTGCTGATATAAACAAAGAGGATCGTGAAGGCCTTACGCCGTTGTGCTGGGCTTGTCTAAGAGGTAAACTGCAAGTAGCACAGAGTCTGATTGAACGTGGTGCCAGCATCAATCACACAGATAAGACTGGACGTACTCCTTTAGATCTGGCAGCTTTCCAGGGCAACCAAGCCTTAGTACAGTTTTTGTTGGACAGAGGAGCCGTTATTGAACATGTAGACGTCAATGGCATGAGGCCTTTGGACAGAGCTATAGGTTGTAGGAATATTCAAGTGGTTCAGTGCTTCTTAAAGAAAGGAGCTAAATTGGGACCAGCGACTTGGGCCATGGCTGCAGGCAAACCAGAAATAATGTAAGATAATTTTAAAGAAAACTCTTTTATATGTGGGTAATAAATGATTTGTATTTTAGGCTTATACTTCTTAATAAACTTTTGGAAGATGGTAATATTTTGTATCGCAAAAGTAGATTAAGAGAAGCTGCCCATCGCTACCAATATGCTTTGAAAAAATTCCCCACCGATGACCAAGGAGAACACAATAAAGCTTTCCATCAACTACAGATCAACTTTTTACTTAATTTCTCTAGATGCAAGAGGAAATTAAACGTAAGTCAATAAACAATTAATGAAAATAATACAAAAGTAACAGTAATTTATATTTCAGGAAGCCGAAGAAGCTGTTAGCTTAGCAAACGAAGTTATCGACATGAAGCCAGAATCTTATGAAGCTTACTATGCAAGAGCAAAGGCAAAGTTAGACCTCAAACACTATGAAAGTGCCTTCCTTGATGTTAAAGAAGCTCAGAAAAGAGCTCCAGCTCAGAACACTGAAGTTAAAAAGGTGTTGAGTTTTCTACATGAAGAAATTACCAATAAGATGTCTTCAACCAATCGAATTTCGAACCACCGAGATCTGGCCATCTCCGTGGATACCTTACACGAATAAGATAAATTTATATGTAATAATAAAAGATAACCCAGTGCCTTTTCAAGTGCATTTTTTTGGAAGACTGATAATCAAAATTAATCTTTTGTGAATATTAGTATAAGTATGGCTTTGTAAATATTTTAAATTAATTTATTTTTGACTGTTGACAGTTTTGGGTTCATCTCATCATTCCCGAGGATAAAATATCCTAATTGTTATTTATTTATTTCAATATTCCTAGATATTTTTTTTTGAAAATAAGACAAATAGTAAAGGACTAAACATGTAATAGTTAAAACACCCAGGCTCAGAACAATTGTGATTTAATACTTATCGTGTCAAACTGGCTATAAGGTGAAATATTTTTCCATATATTGAAGATTTAGAACAAATCAGACCAAGGTATACAATCTTTTACCTGGGATTATTATATTTTTTTTATTATACAAAGGTGGTAGACTACTATATTAGTCAGCGCTTTAATAGTTTGATTCGAACTAAGGCAAAAAAGTATTTAATAAATAGGTATATGTTATAGAATGTTTTTGCCTTTTTCATGATTTGTATATATCAAAAAATAAAGAAAAAACTGCCGTATATACTAGAATTGTTCCTTATTGTTAATTTTATTTTTAGCTGTACTTTACACAACTTGTTGCAGTTAATTAAGGTTTTTTATTTTCCATTTTTTTCAAGATTAAACTGTAAATAACAGATATGAAGAAAAAATATGCATTGTATTTAATACAACAATTTTAGTGATCTAATTTTATTTTCATTCTTGCCAAGCATGCAATATTTTTTGTTCGTCAGTATTTTCTATTTATTTCTTTGGCAGTATAACTGTTTTGTGTGAAAAATATTTAATTTATTGTGTAAGATTATAAAGGTGCTATATCTATTAAAAAGTGTATCAAATATATAAATTTTACAATGCAATAAAGAGTTATATTAATTTTATTTCTGTTTGCTTCAATTACTAACACAAGAAGAAGGGGTTTATAAAAAGTATACTTATCTACTAACATTGACCCTTATTTCAATATGTTTCCATTGATATGAGGATATACAAACATGCATATGAAATCTGAAAATTTGAGAAAATAATGTTTTCAGTGAATAATGTTGAATTGTTGAATATCCATTACTCCATTTGTGCGTGCTTGTTCCTGCTTCATGCTTCATCCACAAAACTTTATTTATTTTAAAAACTATACAGTATGCACCCTCCATAGTGTCTAGAGACAGCCACTTCATGTTACTTAATTTACTATTGAGACGTCCAGTATGTGCATATCACTTATTGATACTTCATAATAAAGAAGAAAACTGAAAAGCACGCCTGCTCTAAGAAACCTTGAAGTAAAGTAGATTTTGCTATCTCTGGATTTTAGTTATAGGCTCTATAGAGCCTTCATAAGTGATTTTAAGCCACGTTACCAGTAATTTTATTTGAAACAGTAACTTTATTTATTTTATTTATTTATTTTTTATTAGTTCTAAAGAAATGAAATGAGACTCGCGCCCTTCTCTAGTCCTTCCGTCGACATCCGTTGCGTTTATCGAATTCCTATTGGTCAGAATTCAAACTGCAGCCCTGTTATGAATGGAGCGTGAGTTGGACTATTCTATCATGTGCGTCGCCTGAGGGTATTCGTTACATTGACCTAATTTCCAATTAAAAGAACGACACTATTTTTAACCGAATTTTATTTAATAAATATGTAGTATACAATTTCTGATTTTCTAAATATTTTATAACGCTTAAAAATGTATGTACCGTAGAATTTTCGTGAATTATCACGTAAATTTCCGATGCATACCCGACACGCCACTGCGTCATGGATAATGTATCTAGGTTTATGAATGACATATCTATGTTCAAGGTTAAAGACACAAATTGTCCGCTCTCTGCTAATCATTTACAGCTTTTTAGTTGGCAGTACCAATCGTGCAATATTGGCTGCCTAAACTCAGGAGTAATCATTTACAAAGGCACTGTAGTCTGTAGTAACTTGTAAGTAACTTAGTCACTACTACTGCCTAGACTAGACTCTAGATTCACTTCGCTTCAATGCTCTCATTCGCATGCGCATTTCATATAAGACGTTAGGCCATAGGAATCATTTTTAACATTTAACATTTTTTCTTCCATTCTACATACAGATAAACCTAGCCTGACCTAACCTATCAGTTTACATTTTCTCAATAAAAGTAGAGAAAAGGATAGTAGATTTGCCGTCTTTACTTATTATTTTATTTCATTTATTATTTATACAGGGTGATCGAGAATGATTGACCGTGCCGCCTCATACTGATTTTTGATGTGCGGCATACCAGTTTTTGATACCAATACTAGAATCATGAGCGCAGGTTGAGGGATTTTAATGGTAAACAAATAATTACGTTCAAACGTCAAATAAATTAGGTTACTGTCAAAATGGAAATTCATAATAAAAATATCAATTATTTAACAAAAATCAAAGTTATTTCACAAATTAAGCAATACTGATGGACCAATAAATGTTATTATTGTTATTATTATTAAAGAGGATGACAGAATCAAATGTAGGTTTAGCCTAACTTTTCCAAAATTCTTATTTCATTTACAATTAGAAAAACTTTTAAATCAAAGTTTGATGTAGCTAATTTTGAATAACGACTGTAAGTGCTTCAGCGATTTTATTTTTAAAACGTTATGAGTTAATTTTAAAACAGAAGCACTATTGTGGCTACATTCTTGGCATCTAAGACGATTCAGCTATACAGCGATACGCTGCAAGCTGCTGTTTTTCATCAAAGCAAACTGCTGTATGCTTATAAGACGACTATTTTGCAGCTACTGCTTTCACACTTCTGAATATCCAGCGCAAGCGATCCAGCCCAAAAATTTATGCTGAACATTTTAGTTAGCTGTCGAAATTCAGGAAAAGTGTCTTAAAAAAATTTGCTTCAAGCAAATGCAAGCAGTTGGAAGTGCTTGATTATGTTAGATGGTAGGATTGTCTGTATGACCGAGAGCAATAAACAACAGTTACATGCAATATATAATAACAGAGTAATTGGAATTTTTTCACATTTTATTGAATATTTTACCTTAAAATTACATAAAATCCATAAAAATATCTATATTTTTACAATAAATGTTCAATATGATGTCCATTGTTGTTCAAGCAGGTATTAATTCTTCTTTTCATATTATTAAATACATTCTGTAAAACATTTTGTGTAATACTCCTAATTTCGTTTGTAATTGCCTCTTGAAGTTCTTCAATCGTGTGTAACCGTTGAGCAAATACTGAATTTTTTAAAAAACCAAATAAATAATAGTCTAGGGGTGTAAGGTCAGGAGAACGTGGTGGCCATCTATCTCGACTAATTATTCGATCATCATAATACTCTCTAATCAACTCTAAAGTTTCGTTAGAGGTGTGAGCTGTTGCGCCATCTTGCTGAAAGTATCCATGATGGATTTCATCGTCGTGAAGTTCCTCAAAAAATGGTAACAATATTTGCTGCCGATATACCTGCCCAGTTACATTTTCACGGAAAAAATATGGTCCGATTATTCTTCTACGTGACATAGCTACCCAAACACCAAGTTTAATAGGGTGCAGAGTTGTTTCACGCAAAATATTAGGGTTTTCTGTGTTCCAAGAGCGATAATTTTGGGAGTTTACGTACCCACTTAAATGAAACCACGCTTCATCAGAAAAAAATGTTAGATCTAGAATATCGTCGTCATTCAGATTTTCGTTAAACCAATTACAGTATTGCACACGTTTTCCAAAATCTAACGGAAGTAGTTCCTGCACAACACTAACTTTATAAGGATGAAAATGCAACTTCTTTACTGCTTTATGGCATGATCCATATGATATTCCTATAAACAATTTAGGAATAATGATACAAATTTTAGAATAAATATTTGTTATTAAGTACCTGTTTGAGCAGATAACCGACGTAGTGATTTGGTTGGACTAGCTCGTAAGCGGTTTTCAACATCTTCCAAGACTTCCTCTGTAAGAATAGACTTTCTGCCTGGAGATTTTCCTCTACAAACACTTCCAGTGTTATGGAAGCGTTCCACTAATCTCTTCACGTGTCTCGAAAAAATTTCATAATCAATTTCATCATTTGGAAATTGTTCTTGAAATTGTAAATGACACGAATTCATCGAATATTTCCAACCATTACCATTGTTTTGTCCACTACGAAAATAGGCCTCCAGAAGAAATTTATCATGTTCTAATGAAAATGCCATGTTAACCTAAATTAAAAAACCGATTAGGTTAGAGAACAACATACGCAATAAATTAATTACTCACGTATAATATCCACCTACTCTAACTGTAGTATTGAAAAATACTGTTTTATAATGTCGCAAAATATATCAGGTAACAACAAAATCTACAAAATAATATTCAAGCCAAAAAATCCGTGCGCCAATGAACAGAACGTCAAATTGTGAAATCGCCACAGAACACCATGAAATTGCACGGATAAAAAAGTAATTTTAGCAAACGGAAATCAGTTTTGATAGCAATTGAGACAGGGTACGTTCAGAATCCGGTCAATCATTCTCGATCTCTCTGTATCTATTTTTAGTTTATGTTTTGCTTATACACGCTGCACATACAGAAAAACAGATCATAAACATATGGCAACTAACTTTTGCTACTATTGATTATTTTCATATAGAAAATAAAATTTATCTCTTATCATAGATCTAATGTTCTACAATTTCTACAAAGCTATGATAAGATTATACATATAATCATGGCACAGAAGATAAAGCAACATTGTTTTATCTTCTGTGCTCAATGGTTATCATTAAAATTCCGAACGAACTCCTTGCCGAAAATTTATTATCTTTGGTTAGTGGTTATCTTACAAACTAGATGGCGCGGTCGTCAGTCATTCTGTTCTACTGTAATTTTTAAAGTTGTTTTAAAACCAAAACATTCTTTAAAAAAAAATCGGGAAATTAGTTCTAATAAAAAAAAAGTGAACATGTGAATCAAGTGCTACAGACAGGTATCTCCGGCTTAAGGTAAGTCGAGCAAAAGTGCAAAACAAACTACAAGACCATCGTTTTTATATCGCAATATTTAACATTTGGAAATTACATATTAATTGTTATTAATTAGAGTGCGTAAACTTAAAACCAGTATCAATAAGAACACCTATTTTTTAAATCAGTAGAATTTAAAAAAAAAACACAAAAACGGAGGATGTTTCCGCTCTTTCGAGTGTATAAAATACAGAATCCTTATCGAATCGAACAAATTACCGTTTCTCGGATCAGGAGAACAGGAAATATTTGACGAAAATCTATACGTTTGCAGCGTATAGCGTGTGGATTTCAATTTGAACGTTTAATTCTAATGTACAATCCCTTTAAAAAAAGGGTAAATTACCAGTTTGCATACCTTCGCCTAAATCTGGCGATAACACAGCAGTATACGCCGAGCACCAAGCAAGAAAGTTTGTTAATTTTGTATGTTCTAGAATCTAGAATCTAGATTCTAAAACAAACTGATTTAAGATTAGTCAGTTCTCTATTCAAGTGGTACTTAGGTATTGAATTTTCGAAACCGAGAGAGATGCACTAACCAAATTTGGAAAGGACATGACTTACGTAATACAATGCTGTTGAAAATGTTGTCTTGTCACCGACGTGCTTGGTGGTAAAAATTGGATATATTTGGAGGTATTCAATTTTCGTGGCTGAAAACTTATATAAGTAGGTATTGAATTTTCGAAACCGAGAGTTGCACACTAACCAAATTTGGACAGAACATAGCTACCTAATACAATGCGAAACTTCGCCTTGATGTTAAAAATGTGTCCACCGCCGTACTTGGTAGTGAAAATTCGAAATATTTGGAATTATTCAATTTTCGTGGCTGAAAACATACATAGGTATTGAATTTTCGAATCCGACGGAGTTGCACTAACCAAATTTGGACATGACATAGCTAATACAATACGAAATATCTCCTTACTGTTAAAATGTTGTCACTACCGTTATTCGTGATGAAAATTCGAAATATTTGGAATAATTTAATACAATGCGAAACATCGCCTTGATATTAAAAATGTTATCACCGCCGTTCTTGGTGGTGAAAATTCGAAATATTTGGAATTATTCAATTTTCGTGGCTGAAAACATACATAAGTAGGTACATGTACAAGATTGCAATTTGCAGTAGAAATAGGAAGAGAAGTGCGACCAAATTTCAATCCATTGTTGTATATTCTATGGTTGTACTACAGTATTTTGCGATTTTGTGCGACATGACGGTTTTGGTTCCACACATTGCCATCTCTAAACACTATTAGGTGTTGCTGATTCACATAAATTCGTTGCACGGTATTAAATTGTTGGTACTTTCATAGATCAAGCAAACTGCATTTTTGCAAAGAATTTGAGAGCCTAAATCTCGAAAACCGTGGTATTCTTTTCTGAATGTATATGTACATTTAACCTTGCGCATGGTATATCTGTCTGAACATGGAACACCCACATCACTTTTAAATAAATGCTTGGTACCAAACAGTTTACATTTCTCTTTCTAAAGATTGTTGGAAAATAAACGGCATGTATAAAAAACAATAATACAATTTATTCAAATTCATAATCTATACTGCTAATTATACAGATTATATAAAATATGTTGAATTGCTACATGCTAACAGTTCACAGACTCGTTGGTTTCGACAGCGGTAATATAACACAACAACTTCTTTAAACACTTGCTATTGCAACCTTCCTTTATTTTCACATCACTGTCCCTGACCAGGAATCGGTAATATTGCCACATGAGATCATCGTCTTTGGACATTTTCTCTAGTAAATCTTCAAAACTCGGCAAACTCATGTCATGTAAATTGTAGGCATTTTTGAAGGAGTACTGTTTATACCATTGCGGAGGTGTTGTATTTTGGTTCGCCTTTGTCAAGTTGAAAATGTATTGATCATAATCTAAGACCATCTAAAAAGTAAAATAAAATTATGACATTGATATAAAGGACCTACAGCATGAGGGACAAAAGGGGAAGTTGCTCCTCCTCCTAGAAGTTCCATAATAGTTAAATACAGGGACAGGCACAACAGTAGATTCAAAGTTATCACGCAGCTCAAGTAGGTACTTGTATTCTCATTATATTAAAAAAAAACATTCAAACGTTACGTTGCTTTATAAAACATGATTGTGTATTTTTAAACAGAATACTTAATATTTATTATATTTTCTCATTAACACGGATCTGTCGAAATATCCCACTTCTTGAATGTAAGAGGGGGCAAGCTAATTTTTGCTGGAATGCCTTGAGTACAACTCACATAATAAAAGTGTAGATCTCTAAATCTGGGCGAGGTCCGGGACATTTTCCAAATTGCAAAAATGTTAAAAATTTTAAAAATACCTATTTTATCTGACTTTATTACTTATCTTGGAGGAACCTATGCATTTTAGAAGAATATTGAAGAGGAAAAAAAGTTTTAGAATTGAATTTTGCACAATAAACTGTTAAAGTTAAAAATGTTTAAATTTATTACCGATGTTGCAAAATAGCAATAATTATTGATGAAAATAGGGCAAAATAATCAAAATTTTTGGATAATTTTTTAAAATATTTTAATTGCTCCGAGAGCATTCTAATTTTGGTAAAAAAAAACTTTAGAGTATAATAAAACAACACATCAAATTTCATTAAAATCGGTTCAAAAAAATTTTGAAAAAAAATTTTCGAATTTTCAAAATGTTGCAAGCCTCAAATAAAACATCTCTGTTTCCTTTCAAATGGTTTTTGAAAAATTGAAATCGGTTGATTACGACGGCCTCAGTAAATTTTTAAAGTTAACACTTTTTTTATTTTTAAACAATTAGATTACAATTTAGTTTTTTTCAAAAATTATATATGAATTAGATAGAAACAGTTTCCAACCTTATGTAGGCATTATTGCTGTAGATTAAATATTTAACTTTTTGTTGTACTACATTTTCTTTGATCGATTTGCATTTGAGAAAATATAATTTGTTTACAGTTGTTCAGTTTTATTTTATGAACTTACGGCACTTGAAGGATCCACTTCATAGATTTTGAAGTTAGGGTTAAATCCTACAAATGTTGTAAAACTTGCACCATTGAAGGCAACGTTTATGACTTTATCGGTATCGCTTTCATCATCTTCGTCGAGAAACACCTTCAGCTCGTCTATATGTGTGTGACCGTTGAATTGCGCTGATATTATGTGAGCAAACCTGAAACAATAAATTACTATTTCCACATGTTCCAAAAATTTTAACTAGAAAGATTTATTTGATATTAAAGGATCAAGTTTTATTCTACAACTACTCACATATTTTTTTACTTTACCTATTTATTATCTTGTGGAATTGATTGCTCCATTGCTTATGGCATAAAATTTCTCCAGGTGGAATGTGGGACAGGATGTGAACCCTTTCTTTGTTTTTCTCTGCTTTATATAGTTCCTCAACTAACCAGGCCAGCTGATCTCGAGGGTCTTCATCCTCGTACATCAACCACCTGAGGACATGTCTTTCTTATATTAAATAATCATTAACCATGCACAATTATTATAAATTGTATAATTAGCACAAATTTTTCTTTGAAAATTGTTTTTCGACAAATGATTATTTCTTAAACTTTTTAAGTGGCTCACAACTTATAAAAAAAATATGGGATGTACAATGAATCCATACAAATGTCATAGTGTAAAATAGAAATGAGAAAGAACTCTTCGAAAACCATTAAAAAAAATATATCTACCCTCCAATGAAGTTTGGTCGACTGTAATACCTTACCAGTAGGTTCAAACAGAGAATGAGCTCCGGTGCTGGTCTGGTAACGTCCCGATTGCGCATAAACAACTCAATGAAATGAATTTAATCAACCATTAATTAGTATTTTTAACAATAGTACCTTCATGATGTTGCAACAATCGTTCAAAATTTTGTTCACCACTCGTAAACACATTTTTACCACAAACCAGTTTTAAAGAACCAAGAGAGAAGATATTTCTTCATCTTGCTAGTATTGAATTCGTAAATTTTTGGCACCAACTCTAATAAGTTCACGTCAATCATGAATAGTTTCCATTTTAGTACAATACACTTCGTTTTTTTAATGTTCCCATAAAATAGAAAGGATTTAAGACAAAAGATCATACAATTGTTTCTACTCGTAAAATCTACCGTATATCTTGAACTTCATTAAGGTATTTGCGATTTTGTCGAAAATGGAGTGCACACCATCGTGAAAGAACCACAGGAATCGCATGCAGATACTCAAGTTCCCAAAAATGTATGTTGTGAACGTTATTCCATTTGATATAAACACAACTTCTTCTGTATCTAATACATCGTATATGTATAAATCGAAGATATTGAGTATTTTGTTGTAACAACCATTCACAATAAAATTTAACCTGTAATGTATAAAACGCTGGTACTAATGCTTAGGCGTACTACGAGACATATGAACAAAGTAAGAGTACTCAATTTTTTAAAAATAGAAACAGCATCGGCAGTATGTATATTTATGAAGAATGTACAAGTACATATTCAGAAAGGTACATCAAACATTATTTTTCGACGTAGTCGACTTCAACCTCAATCCACTTTGTGAGCCGAAAGATGAGCTTTCATATACCCTCGTCAAAAAAATCTCCCGCCGCTTCTCGGGCCCATTCTTTCACGGCATTGCGGACCTCATGATTGAGAGAAAATCTTTTTCCATCCATAAACACCTTCAGAGAACGGCAAAGATGAAATTCAGAAGGTGCCAGGTCAAGGCTGGGCAAGGCGCAAAAAACTTACTATAAGCTGCGGTCGACCAGCTTCGTAGTGCTTTTAAAAATATATTTTAGTAAATGCTCAAATTTTTTTGGATAAATTGTGAACCATGTACTTACAAATTGCTAGTAAAGCAGAAGTTACTGTTTATCGCAATAATCCTAAATCCTGGTTTTATCAGAACCGAATAATATCCTCCTTTTAGAATAGTATCTTGAGTACTCTCTGGAAGCCATCTGGACCATTCAGTAACAGATAAATTGAAAATCCATTGAGTAGATATTTGATTTTGCAAGACATCTTCAGGCGAATAACTAGATGTAAAATAGAAAATGTAATAATTATTTACTGTATTAATTTTAACCTATAAAAATTCAAACTCTTACAAACTCTTTTACAAAGAAAAATACAGGGTGTCCAGAAACTCTTCTGCCAAATGGAAACTACAGGTACTAGAGGTTATTTTATGTCGATTTAACTCAAATTACCTTAATCCGAAAATGCTTCCTAAGTGAGCTACAGCCCTTTGAAGAAGACATCGTGATATGAGTTTTCTTTTAATTATATTGAAAGATGCCTTTACTTAAAAATTTCAAACTTTGTATGATCAATAAACGGATACAAACCCGTCATTCGCTGTAATTATTTTTTTTTTACAACCACCACAAGCGTATCAGTAGGGGGAGACAAACGGGTATTTTTATTAAAAATGTTTTATTTTTTACTTTTTTTTGTATCCGACACCAAATTTGAGAAATTCAAGATAATTTTCATAAAAAATGTCCTCTTCTTTGAAATCGATATCATGAACCGTTTTCGAGAAAAATAAATTTAAACTTTTCGTGTTTCTAACATAACATAATGTTGTATTATAAAATTGTATCTGTAATATCAAGTTGGCTTTGAAAAATGAACAAAATTTACAAATACTGATAATAAAAGTCGTAAGTATTAAGTTGTTTACATTGTTTTGGAAATTTTTAAATAATTTTATTTCGTGAGGGTATAAAACAACAATTTAAATACATAAAATAAAATTAAAATAAAAAACAAAAATAAAGATAATTAACGACATAAATAAGATAATTAATTTTACAATAGATGCACTACATGACGACCATTTGTCTCAATACATAAATTCATTCTTTTCTCTAAAGACCGTCTAATTTTTGGAAAAATGCCTGCATTATTTCTAATTTCATTACAAGCGTTTTGAATTCTTTGCCACAGCTGATTACGGGTTTCTATTGTAATAGCATAGACTAATGATTTTAAATAACCAACTGGACCACCTCTTCCAATCCATTTGTCGTCATAGTTATTGTCGAGAAACTGACGAACGTCTCTACTAAAATGAGCTGGGCAGCCGTCGTGCATGAACCATAAATTATTTCGAAGCATCAGGAGAACATCATCCATTAAATCAGGTAAAACATTTTGTAGGAAATTAAAATACTCTTGTCCTGTTAAACGGGTAGGAAGCTCTACGGGTCCCAGAAGCTGATTACCGATTAGACCTATCCACACATTTATGTTAAATCTTTGCTGGTGCTCTACTATTGCATGAGGATTATCACCAATGTAGGCATAATGATGTGCATTATGTTAATTAAAAATCTCATCTCTGGTAAACGTAGCTTCATCGCAGAATAAAATATTGGAAAAACAAATAGGATCCTGATTTTTTTTATTCCGCAACCAGTTTGAAAAATCTACGCGGGCAGGGAAATCACCGTCTATCATGGCGTGAACTTTTTGAAAATGAAAAGGATGAAGGTTTTCTTTTTGAATAATATTGCGTATGGAAGACTTGGAAATGCCAGGATACACAGCAGCGAGTCTTCTGGTACTAACCTCAGGATTATTGTCGATTTCAATTAAAATATCGTCTTCATATTCCATCGTAACATCAGGCCGTCTACCAGTTTCAGTATTTTTAGGTACTACTGAGCCACTTTCTCTTAATCTTTGGTATACGGCTACAAATGTTGCGCGAGTGGGATGTCTTCTGTTTGGAAATTTTTCCGCATATCTTCGCTCTGCTGCACGAGCGTTACATTATACTTCCCCATAAACTAAATGCATGTCAGCATATTCTTCGTTCGAAAAATGAACCATTTTGATCAAATTAACTATTATTTTTTTAACTTTTCCACGCAACAACAATAATAACTGTTTATGATCAAAATAATTTGACACATTGTCAGATTTTGTTGTTTTTTCAAAGCCAACTTGATATTACAGATACAATTTTATAATACAACATGATGTTAGAAACACGAAAAGTTTAAATTTATTTTTATCGAAAACGGTTCATGATATCGATTTCAAAGAAGAGGACATTTTTTTTTTGAAAATTATCTTGAATTTTTCAAATTTGGTGTCGGATACAAAAAAAAGTAAAAAATAAAAATAATTACAGCGAATGACTGGTTTGTATCCGTTTATTAATCATACAAAGTTTGAAATTTTTAAGTAAAGGCATCTTTTAATAATTAAAAGAAAACTCATATCACGATGTCTTCTTCAAAGGGCTGTAGCTCACTTAGGAAGCATTTTCGGATTAAGGTAATTTGAGTTAAATCGACATAAAATAACCTCTAGTACCTGTAGTTTCCGTTTGGCAGAAGAGTTTCTGGACACCCTGTATAGTAAAGGGTTACTTTGAAAAACTTGATAAGTCGTGGAATATTAATTAGTACAGTATTGAATTTCTTCGGAATATTAAAAAAATCGTTGAGTTTCTTAAGAGATCTGTACTTATTTATACTTTATTTTACTTACAAATCAGTGGGGTGAGGTTCATGGTTTCCTAATATTGGATATATGGTTGTATTTGGGAAAATACTAGCAAATAATCCGTATATTTCTTTAATGGTTTTTGTATTTTCTGACTTGGATGAAGCCCACGATTTGTGACTTATGATATCTCCTGTGTAGTAGATAAAATCAATGTCCTTTATCTGAAAACGATGGACAACATTGGAATGATAATAAATCTGTACTATTCGTTTCTAATATAATTACGATATTGTAATAAATACAATGTTTCAATTAAACCTTACATATTTTTCTTTGATATGGTTCAGCAAATTTAAAACCGAATGGCGAGGCATATCGCAGACATTGTAGTCTCCCCAATATCCAGCCGCGTTTCCAGGTTTTGAAGGAACCCCACTTTGACAACAAAGAGGGTCTTTGCACACAGCGTTACTTCCAGGTTTATAGAGAGGATCGTAGTGGATGTCCGTCAAGTGGAGAATTCTAAGTGGGCCTATTTGGTCATCATCCTGAAAATATAATTTGTTAATGTATATGAGGAAAAAATAAACAAACATTCCAATCGCAAAGACGTGTTGGACATTGGTAATATTCTCAGTACTCACATCATCTTCCTCAATTTCCTCATTTTTCTTTGGAGGAGGCGGAAGGGGGATGATCCATTTCTTTGCATCAGGATCGACGCATTTTTGTGCTTGGAAATAAATTGCACACACTCTCTCTGGAGTTAAGTCATTCTTATTGTCCATCATGTATAAAACTGGGTCCTAAAATATCGAGGATTTATTTTCATACATAGACATTTTGTCAGATTCAATAAGATTTATAAATTTAGGAAAAATGTTTAAACAGAATATTCGAGGAACGGGAACATTTTACTATTAATTTCAATTTCCTATAACATTTCAACTGAGAACTAAAACGGTCAATATTATAAATGCTTATTTATTTCGGTATGTAAATTCAAAACATAAATTTACTTCATATTTTAATCCATAACGTTAACGTGAATAGAGGAATATCGTATAACAGTCTATATAAAGTAGTTTATCTGCTCCCACTATAGTAAATAAACTATTCATACATTGTTTTTAAGGAGGTAAGTGAATTTTTCCGTAGAAGTGGAAGTTGCTATGGACAACGGGAGGTAAGTGATATCTCCTTAGGGCTTAGGGAAATAAGAGATTTCGAATTATAAACGCATATTTTATGAACAAATAAATAGAAATATTTGGTAAACATTACATTTTATTAATTATGTATTATGAATGAATATTTATAGTAATTGTACAGTTATTACATTTAGTAACACTTAATTATTCCCCTCGCGTATACTAATTGTCACATTTTTCTCAAAATGATTTGACCGCTCCATTTCAGTCACCGCAGGCTCAATATTATCTGACTGATTCATTAAAACAGCATGATCCGACGTACACTGCCGGCCCTTTGAAAGTGGATGATTTATTTTTCTACTGTAATGTGGTATACTTTTCTTATTATGATGTTATGAAGTTTTTATATGTCACTGTCATTAATAATTTGCTTGGTAATTTAAGATGCCGCGTTTAATGGAACCAGAGAAAGTGAGAGCTATAACTTTACTTCAGAATGGTTGGTCATTGTGGATGATCTGTATGTATGCAAGAACAGCATATTTAAACTCAAAGAAAAATGGAATGCTCACTAGAACTAGTATGATAGACACACATTAAATTTGATATAATGACAGTCGATTTGAACCTCACATTTTCAGGTGAGCTTCACAAAGGCCAATTATAGACAATTTGCTTATAAGAGTCGTCCACTTTCAGAGGGCCGGCACTGTACTACTAGAACATGGAGTTGAAGTGTAATTGTAAAGAATCCTGTTGGCCACTTCATTTTTGTTACTTAAACTGTCAGCAACATAACTTTCTGCAATTGTGGCTGATTTCCACCCACCATGACTCTTGATTGCTAAAACATCAACTCCTGTATTAGCCAGTAACGTTGCCGATGTTCTTCGGAATTAATGGCCTGTATATGTTTCAGGATGTTCTAATTTCAAAAACTGTGCAATCTTATTAGGAATCATAGAAAGGGTATTCTTGCCGACTGGTTGGTTGTAACATCTACCTGCTTGATAGCGCATAAAAAGCGTAAAAGCGTTTTAATTTCCAATCTAATCTTGATGTATTTCTTGAGAATTGCTAGGTGAGAAACAGAACCCAGACAGGAAGTAATTGCAAACGTACGTGACATACCATTTTTAGAATCTGGAATTGTAACTGCAATAATGATGTCATCGAAATTTTTGAAATTGACGTTTATTAGAACGGCATGCTTCTGCAATGTCTAAGACCGGCACTACCTTCATTAACAAATATGTGTTATAGGAGTATTCACTCCACAAACTCGCCGGTGACTTTAAAGTTCCTGACCTCTTCGTGAAATATGCTCAGTGACATTTCAGAAACACCAGTATTTTTGTTCTGGCACCTTTCTTTGAAATTTCTATATGCTCGTCCGTAGCGCACTTTCGACTACTCGGGCAATAAAAATTCGCAGGCAGTATTTGTTGCACTTTCTATTTGAAAATCACTCGTTTAGAAATAATAATTCAAAACCAGCAACATTGCAACTTTTATGTAGCTTTGTTTATAAACACCTTAGGAACGACAAAATTCAAATAACCAACCAAGGCGACTTTACAAAAATAAGTCAAAATGTATCGATTAAGAAATGTCAAAAAATAAAACCTAATCTTTATTTCATGAACCGTAAAGAACTGTGGGAGCAGATAAAATGTTATACACCACGCAGCAGTTAAGTATAATTTACCAGTCTCGGACTCTATTGCCAGCCCTCGCTCCGCTCGGGCGCAAAATCGTCCTCGGCTAGTAAATAATACTTTATGGTGTAAATAACTATTGTAAATACTAGAAGTAAAAAAAATACTCAATTTTAATTTAAATTCTGTTTTTAAAAATATTTATGTCCTGATGATTTTATGTAACTATAGGTAGTATCCGTCACTTATCCATGTACAGAGTGTCCCAATATTTAAGTGTATAGGCCATTATAACAAATAATTAGTAAATAAATTAAAATAAGAACGAAAAAGATCAAACATTTAGACCCTCAGAATACCTACTATGTGTATTCTTGGAGATTATAACTTCACAATAAAAAATCATGATCCTGCTATGCTTATTTTGGGTGCTGTTTAAAAAAATTCATAAAATACAGCAAATTCAGAATTTCCTCTTTAGAAAGCATACATGTTCTTAAGTTACTATATTTATTTAAAAAATACATCATCTTTTTTGTTTTGTATAGTTATTGTATGAATGGCCTGTATATCAATGATATACTGCATAAAAATTGTTGTTGGAAAGTATACAAATATTATGCATAGAAAATTATTTGTAACAATTGTCTTGTGTAACCATCTATTTTTGCTAGTAGATTTTTTTCCACGTTTTTTAGAATAATATTTTGAAATCACAGTATAATATAAATCAGTAAAGGACACAGGATAATGGTTGACGATAACAATGTTTAGCGGGCGCCCACAATCTACTTCCTTACAACATGGCGGTGTTTGTTTACTTATGTGTAATTTGTATTTTCTGTCGTTAGTTAATTCACTATAAATATTACTGCTGTGTTAGTGAATAGTTTTCAATTTTATTTTAAATATAGTAGTAACTATATCTATTTTGCGTGAAAAGATACAAAGCAATAATTTCCATAAGAAATATAAAAATCCCGGCATGTTCATAAATTCACAAAACAGTGACTACTCCTTTTCAATTTAGCTGACTTTCTCTGTCACAATTTTTTATCCCTTTAAAACCTATTTATAAAAAAATTATGCCCTTAGTGATTTGTATTAACCGTAGTAATCAATGTATAAATCCTTACTATCTCGATGTCTATGTATCCATGGCAAGCCGTATTTCCCCACCCTGTAAAGATTTTGCACAATTTATTGAAATAAGTTTTCATCGAATCTTTATTTGCTCCATTTCTTCTATAAGTAAGTACTTGATGCACGACTACTTGGCATGACTGACAAATAGTTTCATCGGACTCCAAGGTATCCTTAATTTTCGAAATATTTTTCACCGCTTTTGTAAGATAGTTCGGTGCACGATCGGCAGTTAAAAGCTTTACCACGCCGTTTCGTACTGCCTCCAAAATTCCTAAAAAAAATTAATCGAATAATTTAAAGTTAAATAATTTGATTTTTAAATTCAAATAACTTACATATTTTAGAATTTTAAATTATACAAAAGAGCAAATATATTATAATTTCTAAATTCCTTGAAATACAAAGCTTTGAATAGGTATTTAACTGACGTTTAGTCGAAGGTGAAAGTTGTCAATGTCAATGTCTAAATATTACACGAATTTATATTATTTTCGGAAAAAATTAAGTAAACGTAGTTTTGAAAATACGCCGCATATAATAAATTAATAATACTTATTACTGTCGTTTCTTGGTTATCAGATTAATTATAAAAAGTAGGATTTTAATAAAGTTTGCATTTATTACTTACTGTCTTGCTGAATGGAGGAATAAACTCCAATTATTGAGAATGTACACAGCACAAGTATAAACAGAGTTTTCTTCATTTTTAACAACTTTTAGAACCGCAACCACACGTTGACATATAATAAAAGACTACGGGATTATTTCACATTATTTACAACAAAAATAACAACAAAACTAAAGTCAAATTCCTAAACAATTGTATATTTATAACGCGGACGTTGGCAGAGGCGGACTAAATAAGAAGGGGTCTATTCAATTAGATGATTGCAAACCCAGAATTATTTGTCTGGATGAGGTAATGTTTTACTCTCGGTTTTAGTTTAAACCTGTTAATATTTTTTGCGCATTCTGTTGCTAACTTGTTAAAATGAACACCTATGAGGCAAGTATACAGGGTGTCCTGAAAATTAACTGCCATACTTCATTAGCAACACAGGACAAGAGGGTCCGCCTAATTGTTGACCTTGCCCAGAGTTTTAAGGGAAGTTAAGCTGACTGCGACCAGGCAGCGTGGTCAACGCCATCAGATCTAAGAAAGTGTGCCTCAAAAAGAGGCATTCTGTTACTCAAACTATTATAAAACTGTAGTAAAGGTAATAAATGTAAAGTACTAATGATAATTGCATAATTTGTCAAATCTGAGATCGTCGATCGCAATGCCCACTAGATCCCAACGGCCTACAAACGTCAAAATTTGTGGGCAAACTTTAGCTCTTACATTCGCTTATCCTTATCTGTTAGCATTGCTTATAAAATCATTGCCATACTTCAAGTGTAGCTTTCCTTGTCCATAAACTTTGTACAGGTGCATTCTATTTATTCATATTTTGTTCTATTTTAACCCTTTAAAACTTTGTTTTAGGATTTACATCAACTTACCTCTATTTAAAAGTCAATGTTTACCGAAATATAGCATACGAACGTGGTTTCACGGTATGACATTTAGAAGGACATTTCAGTAAATATTGACTTTTGCATAGAGATAAGGTTAAGTTAATCAAAATCGTAGAAAATCTTATCCGCGAAATACGAAGATCATGAAGAGAATTCACAGTAGAAATGACAAAGACTGACTTAATAACAAGATAGAGATAGTTCAGATAGAGAATGAGCTCCGGTGCTAGCCTGGCAACGGTATTACTGCGCAACTGAACTCACGACAAGGTGAATTTAGTCGAGCTGTAGCTGCAAATTTAGCAAAAAAGATGAAGTTTAAATAATCTAGATAGACTCCAAATACGCGGTTGTTTGTAGAAGTATAATACCTAAATAAAATTGAAATCCATTTTGAAATGCAACACGAACTTACACACTTACAAGTACATGAAGTGGTTTATGAAAAACTACTTGCGTTTTGTAAAAATACCTTCACTATAATATGTCAAGTTTCCTTGACATGACTTAAAAAGTGAAGGAGTAGCTGCGCTGCCATCATAAGAAAATAAATAAAATTCACGGGCAAAGCGGGATTTTGAAACTTTTTGAATAAAAAAGCGGGATTCTTTCATCCAAAAAAAAAACCTGGAGAAAATAATTAAATAATTCAAGAGCGGGAAAAGCGGGACTGAACGTGTCCCGCGTGGGACATTTAATTTTGGGTTAAAAAGCGGAACGTCCGCCAAAATCGGGACGTCTGGCAACGCTGGATTCTCATTTCTTTTAATACAGTACTGGATATGAAATTAACAGCTACTGGTACTATCTACACTGATTTACATACTAATCTCCATGAATGTTTATAGTTATAACTTGTAACATGGAGCAATTGATGCGTCACTTTATAGATTGACAATGCTATAGGTATCTCTGATTTATTGAGAATGTGTCAATATTTGCAATGATTATTGTGGAATTTATTCAATTTTTCTTTGTCTTTTTAAAAAAAAATCTACGAAAATGTATAATATCTTTGCAAATTTCTAAATAGTGAGGAAAGAAACTTTATAAAATCTCTGATGTGTTGGCATGACATTTCACTTTTCTCAAAATCTCAAAATGTTTTTCCTAAACACAAGGGAAATGATTACTTGTTTTAAGAATACCGACAAATTTTAAAATGATTTGATAGTGATTACAATAAAGAGAAAGTCTTGTCAACAAGCCAATAAAGGCAGCATCAATGAACTTTGATCCACATCAGGATCACCTCACATATCATTCCATTCAATAACATAAACAAATATTTTGTTTATTATGTTATTTCAACTATTAATAATTTAGATTATATCATAATAATTTTAGTTAGGCAGGTGTTTTTCATTTTTTAACACAACATATTATCTTTTAAAGAGGTTTTACATAGCACCAAAGGAACTACAATTTTTTATGCGTTATAAAACCTGTGGGTACATGCTTTTTTTATAAACTGTTTTTATGATTTATTGTACATACAAACCCAAACCGATCCTCATTCAACTGGAGTTTGAATATCTATAATTGGATGGAATATTTAGTGTTATCAACACAATTTACAAGACAGAAACAAAATTTAAAGATTATTCATTAACAAACATAATTATTACATGTTGTATTACTACTACTTATCTTATTTATGATTTACATATACAGGGTGTCCTGATTTATAATTACTTACAGGTCGTTAACACAGTAAGTAAAAATTAAATAAAAAATGGCGTATACCTATTTTTTATTCAATAAACCAAAAGATTGTTCATATTCAGAAACTAGGTATAATATATTACAATTTTAATTTAAATTAATTTCTACTATCGAAAAAGAGCAATCCTACAATTGTATATGTTTATCATAATAAAAAACAATAGTATACCAAGCCAAGGGGTATACAGTAATATTGTTGTATTGTCAGACTTTAAATTAAAAAATTGCTAATACAATTTTTCAAACATTGGCACCTAAAAGAAATAGCAGGCTTATAATTTTCAATTTTGAAGTTTATGGTTTCCAAATATCCTTAATCTTTATTACAACATATTTTACATTTATTTGTATCTTTATAGACCACTAAAGTCTGTTTTACAAGGTGACCCAGCCCAGAACTGATGGTTCGCCACCATTACAGAAAGAAGAAAACAGCAAATAGGAAATTACGTAAACATTTGATTTAAAATTTCATCTTGATAAGATCCTAACGGTGTGACATCATCAAAATAATTATTCCCTATTTCACACATATTTTTTTACATATTATAAACATTTAAATTTTTCTCTACATTTTTTATTAAAGATTTTTGACATCTCTTCCAATTAAAAATACCTACAGGGTGATTCAGAACTTATCAAAAAAATAAAATAAAAAATTCTGGATGTACAGGGGATGTACAAATATAATTTTGTAAAGAAAAATCAATAAGGGCAGTTCGAAAATGATTTAAAAATACACACACTGGAAACTGGTCCACCGTAAAACTTGACCTCGCACAAACGGACAAAAAGTTGATAGAATTTCGGAAGGAAAGGAATAAATAGAATTTTATAGCACCTATTTTATATCAGTAAGTTCAATTTTTGCCGTTATTATTATTATTAATTAATAAAATTTTTGGTTTTAATTAATAAAACAATTTGACATACCTGATGTTACAACTATTCAAAATTTTGTCTACCAACATGTAAACACATTTGAGCCCATATTAACCAGTTTCTACGAACTAACACAAATGTTGTCTTGCTTCACCATAACACAAATGCTTCACCATAATACAAATGTTGTCTTGCTTCACCATAAATTAAAACGATATCCACCAATTCCGAGTTGCTATACACGCAAGTCATTTCTGACACTAACTAGGTACTAAAAAACTATTGTAAACACTAACGACGATTGTATTGCGAGTCGCTGAGGCCATGTGGCTCTCCACGCGTATTGCGAATGACGCGCTAGAGACTACAGTTGTCCAGCAATGTAATACTTGAAAGTAGTACAACTTCAATAATTTTTTTCTCCGAAACTAAGGATTTTACAATTTTTTTTTACGATATTGACTCTATTTCTCATGTTGCATCTATTCCCAAATTTTTTTGAAGTTAAGTAAGTTGTGAATCACCCTGTATAGTAAATGCTATGTATAGAGAAAAACACTGGTTCGATCAAGTCTGTTACTTATTTCATCAGCATTGCCGTGGAAATCAAAACTTCTTCGAATCTTCCCCAGTTTGCCCATAAATCAATATCATATTTAATTTTTCATCGACTTTACTTTTTTAAATTTCCTAAATTTGCACAATGTTCAAGTAATTAATATAAACATTGAAACTACCTTGTTTTCCACAGCAAAACTGATAAAATCAGTGCCGACTTGATCTGCTAGTGTTTAGTTTCCATATACACATTATCTTATATCTTTTGGAAAGAAAAAGATATCGACCCTTTTTCTAACAAAAGTTGTTGAGAAAAAATAGGACTTTCACATGATGTAAAAAAAAATAATTGAAACTGGAAAAAATAATTTCTATGATGTCACAACTTTTGGAGTGGTAACCACATCAAGAAGAAATTTTGAGACAAATATTTAAAGGTCTCTGCTTGTGGTTTCCTATTTGCTTTTTCTGTTCTCCTGTAACGGCAGCCACATTTTCAATTTTAAGTCACCCTATAAATAGGAACACCCTATATATTTTTCTGCACAACAAATTACGGACTAATTTTAAAAAGAGAAATAGTATGAAAAAACCAAAAGGACGTAAGTATGTAACATATTTTTAATGTTGCCAAATTTTTATCTAAAATTTATTTGCAGATTGTCTTATTGTATTGAACGGATGCAATATTTATATATATACAACAAATCTTTAGAGATAATGAATGACACAATGAAAAATTAAATTTCATTTTTATTTATAAACCACATCCAACAAAATAATTATATTTAATTCCATAAAATAATTATTTAAAGAACAATAGATGAATTATGCCACTTCTTCCATTTCCGCATCATCGATAACCAAATCATCCAACATTTCTTCTAGGGTAACATGAGGGATAGTCTCATCATACTTATCATCAGAATCGACTGGAATCTGTTTTGTTTTATCCTTAAAAATGTTAATATTTTGTCTAAGTGTGGGATCTTCCTCCAAGTCATCCATAAATTCGTGGAAATCACTAAAATATTCATTGCAGTCAAAAATTTGTTTAACAGAAGCATCTTTAGAAAAATCTGTATACAAAAATAAAATAACTCACTTTGCATCTGGATCAAACGCGGTATCCCCTTCGGCCAGACGTTTCAGTTTCCAAATTCTTTGTCTCCTCATGAAAGACCTATCGCCATAGTGTTTCTTCACTAAGAGTACATCTGGAATATTACTTCTATCCAACTTGTCAAAGTTGACATCATTAACATTACTATCTTCCAGATTGTACCTGAAGTCAGACAAATAAAAAAAGGTGGTTAAAACTCAGAAGCAGCTCGGAAAAATTGAAGTGGTTATGGATACAAAGACTGACAGAACAAAGAAAGGTTAGACAATTTTTTCTTAGGGACCATCTGCCTATCGTATTTTGTTTTTGATATTTAGGATGTCAAAGATAATTTTTTAAAATCAAATTTTAACCACCTCTTCCAAAAATAAAGCATAATGCATTGCTGCAAGTAACTCTTTGGAGGAGGTGCTAAATCTACATCAATCCTTATCTAGCGACATTTTATGACAAATCTTAATTGAGATTAATTTTTTACGATTTATGTTTTGTATTAAAATTTATAATTTCGTCTTACATAAGAACAATATTCTTGTTGAAATTGCTGAAAACACGTTTTTAAGAAAAACTCAACTGACTGTCCCACAGTCAACCAGCTTTAATATGCAGGGTGTCCCAAAATGAACGTACTTCAAGGGCAGCTTGATTGGATGAAAATAAACCAATTTAGATCAAATTACTTTCATACAATTGCTTCCCTAAAAAGTATAAGTCTTCGAAAACATACTTTTTATTCCATTTTAACTAATCCTAATAGACAAGGCGAAAACCTCGCATTTGTGGGAGAAATTTTCCGACTCGATTTTTTTGCATATTCAGATTCGTGAGATGTTCCATAACATGAATCAAGATGATGCCGGCCGGAAATCTGGTGTCTATTTGTTTCAACAAACTTTTTTTAAACAAATTGTAAAAATTGGTTTTTCCACTCCTGAAATTTTTTTTAGGTTTTTTGGCACATTATAAACAAAAAAGTTCCTATGCACTATGCCTCTAAAATTGATAGTTTTAAAGTTATAGACAATTTAAGTTGCTAAAAATGCGAAAATAACGATTTTGAACGGCCGATTTCCGGGTTAAAAATTGTTATTTTTGATGTTGCCAGATACCTAAATTAAAGTTTAAACATCCCCCTACAAGATGCTGAGGTGTTTTTGGGACTCGCATTATTCTAAAGCCTTGTTTTTTACACCACATAAAGGTACATACAAGTGACAGTTTTTCCTACAGGAACAAGCTTAAGTCTTACAGTTTTTTGTACATTTACAAGTCTTTGGGTAATGGATCTTTGGTAATAATTTTAGGTAATAATTCACCTGTTTCATTTTGATAACCAAATATTGATATTGAGGAAAAATGGGACTTTTCTATATGTACGTTTGTAAAGAAGCTCTTAAGACGTGTAATTTCAATGCATCGGAAGAGTATGGTATTTTACTTAAATTAATGCCCATACCACTACTATGAGAGAAAATTAATTTTCTAGCTTCATCTGCTGTTTTGCCTTGTTTATTTAATATTTTTAGGTATAATCTTTGCAATGCATCAAACTCTTCGTTGCTTAATTCAGACATAAAACATAAGCTAAAGTCGCTAGACGAAATAGCGCTTTATTAACAATTTAAAAACAAGGCTTTAGAGTAATGCGAGTCCCAAAAACTCTTCAGCATCTTGTAGGGGGATGTTTAAACTTTAATTTAGCTATCTGGCAACATCAAAAATAACAATTTTTAACCCGGAAATCCGCTGTTCAATATCGTCATTTTCGCATTTTTAGCAACTTAAATTGTTTATAATTTTAAAACAATCAATTTTAGAGGCATAGTGCATAGGAACTTTTTTGTTTATAATGTGCCAAAAAACCTAAAAAAAAATTTTCCGGAGTAGAAAAACCAATTTTTACGATTTGTTTAAAAAAAGTTCGTTTAAACAAATGGGCACCAGATTTCCGGCCGGCATCATCTTTATTCATGTTAAGGAACATCTCACGAATCTGAATATGCAAAAAAATCGAGTTGAAAAATTTTTCCCACGAATGTGAGGTTTTCGCCTTGTCTATAACATAACTTTTTAAGGAAGCAACATAGATACCCAGACACCCTGTATATAATGGAGTCTGGTTGATTTTGAGGCAGTCAATAATGTTTTTTCAAAAATTATGTGTTTTCAGGGATTTCAAGAGAACTCTTTTTAATATAAAATGAATTTTATATTATAATATGACATGCACCATAAAAAAACCCTCAAAAAAATAAAAATTATATCTAGGTAAGGTGATCAGATAACTAGCGACTTCAAGCAGATAGTTAAAAATGAATAACAGTGGCATATTTAGCACTCCCAAAATCTTACTTGTACCAAATTTCAATGCACTATACTATTTTCTGGGAAAAATCATGGCTATTTTAAAAAATAATTTTTGATATTCTGTATCTCAAAAATAGAAGGCGATAGACCTATGGTTCTTATTTGTTTAAGTTCTATCAACACCTGATTTTATAGTATTTTTTCCTAAAACACCCTGTATATTGATCACAAAGCTTTTACTATTTTTTAGGGAATCATTTCTAGATCCACACAAAAGGCCTAAGAAATTTCCAAAATAAAAAATTAATATAGGGCTGGCCTATCCTGAGATCTTGAAAAGGGATGCATATACATATCGCACCCCCACAAAAAAAGAGTCACAAATCAAGTTTTGTTATTTATTATATTATGGTTTATACTGTTATACATCTATAAAATGGTACATTTTATATGCAGAACTCTTTTTGTGATCTCAAGGTTGAACATTTATTTAAATTTTTATTGAGAAAAATCCCTTTGATTTTTTTTTCTAAAAAGTCTTCTATATGAAATTAGAAACCACCCTCTAAAAAATATAACGGGTTTTACGCTTCATTATCAAACTATAGCCACTTCAATTTTCACTCGCCGCTACTGCTTCCCATTAAAAAATATTCTTTATTAAATTAATGTACTATTTTTTAGTTTTATGAAAATATACGAACATTTCTTACCCCAAGACCGAATCTCCAGGTTTAAGGACATGGCCCAAATGGGTTCTAGTGTGAATCGTATTGTCATTCATACCCAGCTCTGATGCTTTCACAACCCATATATCAGCCAGTACATGGCGGTTAGAAATCGCACCTTGTCCAGGAAAGACTTTGCGTTCCTTATCCATAATCGGCTCGATATCCATTACTACATACTCCACGAGCTGTTTTGGATTACAGATGGCACCAAAAGGATAGCGCCAATATGTGGTGCTATTTAATTCGGCAACTAAAAATGAGACAAAATCATTTTAAATTGTATCGGATTTGGTTTCGTTGACAAAATACTTACTTTGATTTGTAGCTGGGTCAATTAAATGAATTGAATTTGTAACTCTGTAAACCAAACATATAGAAGAAATTCCACCCAATTGCTGCGTTAGTTTCTTCGGCAAGCAAACCACACTGTCTTTTGATATAGGTACTATTTCTACAGAATATGTAAATTTATAATTATAAACGTTGCTGTGTATATCATGAGATATTAGTTTCTTTGAGTGCTGGTACTTGCATGGAAGAACAGCAGAAAGAAAGTCCACCATTTTCCTAGCATTACCCTCAGTTGTATAAAAGAAGTCCAGGCCACCTAAAACATACAAGTATTTTGTGATTTGTAATATTTATAATTTTTATTTTATATACATAACATAAGGAGGTAAATGCTTACCGTGGATTGGTTTTATGCCTAAAGTATTTTCATGGGCTTTATGTTTTAAAATGAGCTGTTCGAGGTAATAAAAGGTTTTCTTATTCTCTGCTTTTTGTCGTACTTGAACAGATGCTCTCCAAAAGTTTTTTGCTTCGGAACGATGACATTCGTCACACATATGATGGGCTACAGTATATTCCACAACAAATACCTGCTGGAGAACAGCACCTCCAACAACTTCTCCATGAACCGTTAATTTTACCTATTATAAAAATTTACTAAGCTTATTAGTGAACATTATTAATTACTATTAAAAAGACTTATTAATATTTCTTAAAAGCATATAAATACCTTGATGCGTTTTGAATGAGGTTCGGTCCATACAAAACTAGCATCCACAAGCTTAACTCGATTTAGGCCTTTTAGCTTTTTCAGGCACAGCGAAAGTAATTCTCTAGATTCTAAAGCACACTGTACCCACTCTCCAGGTGGTTGAAGGTAGCGCTCACATCCTCGGCAAAAATAAAGTGTAGCTTGTTTTGGTATACCTTCTGTAATATCAGCTTGTGTTCGTAAGCAAGCTACACACATATTTGCTGGATTTGGTTCTATTGGAATTCCACATTCGCAACATAATCTAAAAATAAAAATGTTCTTAAATCAGGTAGCAAGGGTAAAAAAACGTGGACAAATTAACCTCAAATTGAATTTTTACTTACATTTTGTTTGGAATGGAATCGGTTGGAGGAATATTTTGAATGTATTCCATTTTAGACAACAAGTAATATTTTCTTTATATATATATATTTTTTTTGTTTAAATTAATTACAGAATTTCACAGTAAACCATAATTGAAAAAATGACACTAAACTGCCGCTTGACACATGCTACTCTTCTTCTTCCTCAGTAAAATAGTACAAGTAAATATTGTCGCGTATACTAGTCGCGTTCAGAAGGTAGAATAATTACTGAGCGTGGGCGATTAGTTATTATTAAAGGCTAGTTTCGATTCTGTCGATGGACAGTCCTAGAACACGCCATTATTCCATGGCTAGAAATTGGCCTCAATGATTTGGGATCGAGGGGGATTATCCCTCTTTATCCTGCCTCATCTCGTGTAGGCCTGGACAGCTTTCGTAAGTGGGCCCCATCCGTCGTCTACCCCGACCGCAAATGCGGCCGGTGTAGGCGCTTTGTGGGACCTCCTTTTGTCCTGGCTGGGCCCCAGCCGGCTAGGGCCCTTTCTTCTGGCACTCTTCTTGCTTCGCCGGCACGTCTGTGTAAACCCTGGGGGTGGTGTCATATTTATGTGTGGTATGGTTGGGTAGGGCAGTTCGGCTATGCAGCCTGCGATGCGCTTTGCTAAGGTGGCCCTTAGGCTAGCGCGGGAGGGGAGGGGTAAGGAGGGTATGGGGGTGTGTATGTGTGTGTGTGTCGTTGTCTTCGTTTCTTGATCCTGGATGTCTCTGAAACAGAAAAGGTTAGCGGGCAAGGGGGGGGATGTCGTTGGGGTCACCCAGGGTCAAAAAGTTGGTGTCTAGGTCTTTTGTGTTTGTCGGTCACGTCGGGTACGTAGTCAACGGCTTGCCTGAGGAGGGGATTGTCATGTCTAACGGCTACGTCAAACCGTTTCTTGGCGTTTTGTCTTATTGTCTGTGTAGCGTTTGTGTATTGTAAGTCTCCTATCGGAGCCAAAACACGCCACAAATTTATGCTTTATCAGTTCCATGCCGGAACGGCATTGATCGTTATATTGTTTAATCAATTGTCGTTATTTAACTTTTCCTATAATATTCGCTAATAAAATTATGTATGTAGTTCGAAAATAATGATTTATTAATTAGCGTTAGATACCCATCAGTGAATGTTCAATGTGCTGAAGCGATTACTATTTTAAGATTCTTATATCTTCTAACAATAACTAATTCAATAGTATCATAATATATTACTATGATTGTTAAAATAAAGATTAAGGTAAATAAATTACAGTTTTGGAGAACATTTATTGACGAATAATTTTTCTAATGTAGGTACCTTAACTATCGCGCTGTAAATCAACCTTTACAAACATAAGTTAAGTGAAGCGTTTTTCTTATGTTTGTTCTTGTTTGAAGTTAAAACCACTATGATTAGGTAAAATTAGTTTATTCATATGGGTAAAACTGGGTGACCTAGGTAAAACTTTGTAACATATACGACGAAATCGTTTGACGTCTTTCTTTTCACTTATTTAACACTAGAACATTTGCTCTTTGAACTTTACTTAAAAAATTTTTTGTTATTTAATCGTTGCCTAATAAAAAAAAATAAGGAAGTCAAATATGGTTTTTCCGATCTAAACAACTAACGAAGTTTAAATCATTAAATACCAGAATACCAGAAAATGGTCAGTTTAAAATAAAAACGCAAGAGATTTTCTGTGAAAAAATATACGAATTTTATAGTTATGGTTTTAATAACTGAAAAAATTTTACATAAAAAAAATAGGGCTAAACTTTAGTTTGGCTCCCAGTTATCTACGTTGTAAAGTAAAATATTCACTTATTTATTTTCATTATGATTTCAAAAATTTCAAACTTAATATCCTAAATCTGTAAAACTAATCTCACTTTGTTTCTTATTTAAAGAAGTTTAATCACCAGGTTGGGCTTATGTAATTCGTAAGACCCTGTGTTTAGTGCACTCTCATCCAGATGTAAAAAAGTATAACTATCAGTTCATTTAAAAGTGCTTGAGAGTTGAATGAACTCCGACTGTGATGAATTCATCATTAACACACATGCAATTAATTATTACAGATGGAGACTTTTTATTTTAATATGCTTCTAATAGTAATAATTTATCAGTTCACAAAATCACAAAAATATTTATTTTTATTTTATATAAATTAATGCTACGCCGATAAAACAGCCAAGAAAAAGCGAGTTCTCATTAGTCAACTTCATTGATCAGTATCGTTGAATTTATGCCGTTGAAATAAAATAGATTAATGCAAGCATCCGTTCAACGCTATTGCTCGATAATATAGGGTGTATCTGAAATAATAAGTACTTTGTTTTGAAAAGGTTGATAAAAATGAGCAATTGATGGTCTAAGTGCTTCTGTTTTCGAGAAAATTAATGAAAAAAATGAACCATAAATGTAAGCCGACCCTGTGCATCTTGTGCACGTGCGTTATCGCCGAGAAATGGGTATTTCTAGCAGTACCGTGTGGCGTGTAGTACGGGAACAATTATTACACACCTTATGGAAACAACTTTGAACAATTTTTGCAGAGCATATTTTTGTGTTACTTTGAAACGAGATTTGAATAAATTTCGAACACAATTTTTAAACATTCAAAACCGCCATCAGCGCTTTCAAACTGCAGCGTGCAGCAACTTCGCACCAGGGACGACGTTAATTTGCTTAAACCTTCATGCGATTTTTTTTTTCAATTTAAAATGTTTTGGACCATTGTGTTTTTTAGCTAAAATTTTAGGAAATATTGTTTTTAGGCAACTGTACAGTGCACTCAGAGATAGAAACGAATCTCCTGTGGCTAAATATCTTAAAATTACATGTAATTTGATACTCACACTTTCTAAACCAAGAATTGGTCTTGTTTGTAGACTATATAATCAAGGTTCTTGAATCATGTGAACGAATTTTACATCCAGTTCTATGTCCAGTTGCGTAGATTCAATGATAATGGTCAATGAAGTTGACTAATATGAGAACCCACCTTAATTTCATATGCACCCTAAGTCTACAGGGTGTCTCACAATTAGCTGCCAACCCTGAACAGGTCGATTCTATGATCAAAACTAAGTAAAACTTTTCTTAACTGCGGAAATTGAGTGAGCGTAAAATTTAAAAATGACCTATACCATGTCTTTGACCATGACCTAAAGGTAACTGTAACGTCAAACCTCTAAATGACCTTGACTGTCATAGTCAAGGTCATGGTCAAGGTCACCGTTGGATTGCTCACTCAAAACCCTGCAGCTTTTGTCCTAATCATTTTTTTGTTTGAGCAGTATTTTCTGAGATAGAGGGGGGTTCCAAACTTTCCTGTACTATAGTCATACATATGTGTTTTTGTATTTGTCTACTTTTTTCAGTGTGAGACTTTTGGTTTAGGTAAAACTATTTTCATGAAGGTGAATTTATTTAATTAATTTTTTAAATTTTTTCAGAGGTGGCAGAATACCCAATAAATATAAAAAAAAAACGAAAACTAGGTCACAAATAAATAACTCCAGACAATAAAATACAAACATGAAACTTTTTTGTTATAAAAAATCAGTTTACCTATTACATTTTTAGGTGAAACGCGAAATAAATTATAAAACTTCCTAATTTCACTTTCTAATGGAAAATTTCGGAACTAGATGTGACAACATGACCCTGCCTTTTATTTGGTCATTCCACTCTCAAGCATTTTTAGATTTTTAGATGAACTACAGAAACTGTATAAACTCGAATATTTATTTTGTGGAATCGTCCTGTAAAGCAACAGGTTCTTGAGCCTGCATCTCAAGCAATGCAAAGAGGTGCACGCAGAGCAGCAACGTAACAATCGCGCAAAGCCTGATGCCTCATGATTCGGCCTGCTCTGTAGTACTCGGAAGGCAATTTAATCGTTTCATTCCGATCCCTCATTCTCATTCCTCATTCCGTCTTCGCTCTTTGTCGCGTGGAGTGGTGTATTTTCGTCGTCGGTGTTAATTCCAGTTTGTATGTTGGAATCCACGTGTTTTTTTGTTTATGTTCCGCAATCTCAACAAATTGGATTACCCATTGGATTGATCTCGGATATCTACGTTCATAGATAAAACGTCTGAACTGCAAGGTACCTACTTAAAGTCTTAAAATACTTGTGTCTAATATTGGATGTACCACCTTCACTGATCAGTGACGATCACATAATCAAATTATTTCGTTAAATTAAAAATTATTTCGCAAAATGTAAAGAAATAAAGAATTTAGATCTCGATTTGCTCTGTTAAAAACTTTACAGCAATAAGTACTTATATTTTTATATTATTTTATCTTTCTATAAATTATTTTTGCCAATTATTAATGACAACTATATCTGGCAATGTTACAATACTAGTGAATGTTTATATCGCATGCTTATTTTTTACTACCCTATCTTAATGGCCGGTGATTATTGCTTTTTCTAAGGTGATACCGATGATAATTCAACCTGTGGCAGTGTGTTTTGCTGTATTAGCACATTTATTTTTTTTTACTTTGAACACACTGCTTTAATATTTATGTTGCCTTTAGAAAAATTTTTAACTGGCAACATTTGTTTAGTACCTCTTTGAAAATTAAATTACGTTAAATGTAATCTTTACAGCCTAAAAGAGCGTTACAATGTTTAATATTTGTCATCCAGCTTAATTATTCCTCACACACACATTATTTCTTAAGTTAAATATTTAATTTCCTCGAATGAACGTTAGATTACAGAATTAGTGGTGCGTTTGTTTATTTGGATTTATTGTCAAGTTTTACTGTCCTAGATTTGTGTCACACTCTTGTAAAATACCATTTGTTAAGGATATATTTTTTATTATTAATGATTGCGTGTTTTAGGCAACATGAATTTTACATTTTATCATATTTGAAAACAACGATTTCACGATTTAGTCCGTATATATGTTTCTTCAAAATGGGTACCTACTTTGAATGTGTGATTGAAGCAGCTACACCATCTTTCTCAATCAAAACTGTCTATACACTGGACATAAATTTCAAATATTTGCCATTTGTAGACAGGTAATCTTTCTTATAAATAAAATGAAAAAAGAATTCAAAGTATTCATTTTGGAAAAGAATTTCCATGGGCCATAAACTATATTAATTTCCTTCCCATAGTTGTAATATATTGTATATATTGAAATTGTATGGTTTACCCCTATTCAAATCGAAAGGTAACAAAAATTTAACAATTTTTTTTAACAAACTTATTAATTCAATTCAATCAAATTTGTTGATATCTTTTACGAAAATAGCACTTTACTTATTCGTGAAATAATTTTTTGACCTAGACAGGCTTACTTACTGTTTCAGAACAAAAATATCTATGTATCACATTACTCTTTAATTAAACAAGGTGTTTCCTATAAGGCCAAATTTCAACAGAATGATCATCGTTTACACCTGTCGTTAGTATGAACTGGGGACAGACACCCTGTACATATTCAACGTTGAAAATGTAAAATCAACCACTAGATTTCTGGACAATTTAAAATAACATTTTGTATATTTGAATAAAACAGATTTTTCTAACAAGCTTGTTTCCATAAAATGAAATATAAGAAAGTTTCCCCTCTTTTCAACACGATCCGTGGACACACTGTATTTTTTAATTAATAATTTTGTAATTTTTTTTTAGTACTTTTTTAATGTTATCACTTCCTAAACTTGTAACGTACCTGCATAATACATGAACTCTAAGAAATGTGAAGAATGACACCACGTGCAAGTTGTTGGTTGATAACCCTAAAGAAAATATACTTTACGCCATTTTCTTACACCGTGTGTACCTGTACTGTACGGCACTTTAGACGAGGTTAATGGATGCCGACATAAATACCTTCGAGTTCGTGCTGTGATTGTTGGTCGATCTCGTTCGTTTTACCTAAAAAAGTAGGCATTCCTTGGCCCCAGGTGAAAATCGGATTCTCGTGTGCAGCTGCTGCATCTTCAGTCGTTATAAAGAACTTTCCCAAGGTTATCATATAGAACAGAGGGAAAGAATCTAGAAATTATAAGGGATCCCATTCTTGCCTGCAGTCAGGATAGCTTATTACGTCCTCGATTATAAAGATACAAATTAAATTATAGTCCATCCGAATAGTGATTGCATATAATAAAATTGGTGCGGGGATTTTGGATGAAAGCTACACGAAAATACTAAAATAATTTCAAATACACAATGTTTCATTTTTTTTAATTAGTAGTCGAGGTATACAGACAGATAGACAGCAATATTGATTTATTTTTTTTATTTATTATTCTGTATTGTATCTAATATTTTTTGAATCATAAAATAAAATCTGCTAATCTGCACTCCTTTCTGTAACACGGTGTAATATGTTTGTGATATTTAGTTTACATATTTTTAATATAGGTGTATAAATCATTGGGGATTAAATGGTATTAACTTATTTGTAGTTCATTTCGCGATTTATTTGTGAATACCAAGGCTACAGCTTTTGTTCCGTAGATATTTCTTTGTTGTCGATTCAATCAAAATAGTGTATCCATGATACCTTGAATATTAATTACTTTATTGAACTTTATAACCTTTATTTACCTTTAACATTTCTCTAAATAAATTTTAATATACTGGGTATGAGGTAACAGCGAATTTAATAGTTTATTTGAGACAGTTTTATAATTTTTTTTATGAAAATGTATGTACAGGAAATGCAGTGTTTACTTTATCATGATTTAATAAGTTTTTTTCTTAGATGGTGAAACCGTAGTTTTAACATGTTTTGTTTTTTAAATAGTTTGTGTTTTTTCGTATAAAACTACATACATATCGGGATTCATATTACTAATGAACAAATAGAAATTTTTCTCTATCTAATACTCATTATATAACAGATTATGAACTAACACATTAATAATTACTTTTTTGAAAACGAAGAATTTGGATGTTTGACAGCTGTATTGAAACGGTTATATAAATATTTATGAGAATCTTGCATATTTTTCTAGTAAATTTCAATTAAAATTGAATCGTAGATCGTTAAATTCAGAAAATAATACATTGTTGTATTTAAAAAACTGGCAATCGTGTGTCGTTAAGGCGCCAAAAAGTTCAGCTTTTTAGAACCATATTCTATAGCCGCTATTTTTGTTTTTCAAAATCGGTCCAAAAATAGCAAAGTTATAAGCTTGCGGTATTTTATATGAGACACAAACATTTAGATTTTTCATACACATCACTAGATCTAACGCAAACCGGAACCTTCGCCATTTTTGCGTATTTTGGATTTTTGTCATATTTGTCATATTGCTGTTACAAGTTGTATTCTCACTTTTATGTATTTCAATATGTTAATTCAAACGCTACCTTTAAAAATGCTTCATTAAAGCGTGACACTACCACCCAATGAACAAAGCAAGAATTAATTAAACAAGAGCTTGTCTTAGTTTTAAATAAAATGACACTATTACTTACACAGGATTTTAACAAATTGAATAAATTCCGATAATGACATCAGTTTCCTAAATTCAGTGTAGAGATCGCTACAATATGTTTATGCAATAACTGTCGCAAGTTTATTGCTGGTGGATACGCTTCTGTAACACTTACGCTGATACTGCAATATTTATTTTTTTATTTAATGTTAAATTGTGGCAACCTGTCACACAGTCTGAGATAATATTTAATGTAATTTAATTATATCTTTTAATAACAATTTTTTCAACAAATAATTGAACTTAAACCTTTGGCGTTATATAAAAGCATAATATAATTGACCGCTATTACGTTAACAACTAGGTATATTAAGTAATTAACAATAGAAGGGATACAGTTAAAAAATAGTTAAAACCTTTGTTATGCAATAGTTGCGATTCAAGACAACAGTTGATTTGCATATTATCTATCTTTAGTGTATTTTTTCTCTTTACTAATTGTTCCGATTTACGTTTAATGCATAATTTGCACATATTTAAATATTTAACTCGAATGTTATGCTGCTCTCACCCAGATTTTACGTAACATCCTCGATAGTGGTTTATTAAAAAAATTTAATTCTTTAACTACTTCTGTTTATTATAAAGTTGTTATGGTATGTTATAAAATAAGTTATTTAAAAACTTGTTTTTATATATGTACTTAATTCTGTAATACGGTATTATTTTAGTTAAATATTTTTATCCATAATCACTTTATAATCAGACTTTTATCCACACATATGAACCATCTAAAGTGATACTTTATCCAGTAGAGAAATAAAGTAACTTTATTTCATTAGTAGAATAATGAAAATATAATAAACCTATAATAAATCAAATTTAAATTATTTACTTATTAACATTAACATTTATAGTTATAGTAATAGACATTTCGTTTTTTGTTTTATCACATTTAACATCCTTTCCGTTAATAACAACATTGTTGCCATCATTTTCGGAACGCATAATATCTGCTGAAGTTTGTGAAGAATTTGCACAAGTTACGGATGTCTCTTATTGTAAGGAACAGCTTTATTTTATCAAGTTTGTTAAATATATACTCCCCAACATAACTTTCTGCTACAGAGGAGCTCTTCCATCCACCATGCCGTTTGATGGTTGTAAGATCAGAACCTTCATTAGCCAATAAATTTGTTGGAGTGCGCCTCATATAATGGCCAGTATACTATTGGATTTGCGATATTCAGAAATGAAGCAACTATTGAGGGTACCTTCGTCAATGTGTTGATTCCAACAGGCTCAGAAGTACATTTTTGATTGATGTATTTTAAACAGATCTGTTCTGTGTTAGGCGAATTGGGCGGGGAGAAATGTATTTTCTGCATATATCAACAGCATTTACTCAAAATCCTTCTTCTACAGTTGTAAATTTTCTTGAAATACCTGTCTTGGTGTCAGGTATTGACACAAGTAGGTAACTGTCAACGTCCTGTAAAAATTTTAATATGCTACTTTTGAGATTCCATCTTTTTTACATTTACTTAGCCAAAAGTAGTCAAAACTTGAATAATCTTCTGTGATTAACAATTATAATATTTATATCGAAAAGAAAGGGTTTTAATTTAAATTCTCAGGTATATTTATGTGTGAATAGAGGTACTTTGAAGGAAATAAGGACCAATAGTGTATAAAATTAATTATAAAGTTTAAAAATAAAGTTCAGTTATTTTCTGAAGACCTCGTATATAAATATTTCCATATGGTTGTCATTAAATTGCTCGTATGCTGAATTTATGGACATACATCACCCATAAGAAAATAATAAAAATAAACGATAATATATTTTGTTTTTGCATGACATGTGTGAACCAAAAATTGTTTAAACATAACTGTACATCAGTAGTATAGTGAAATTATCATTATTTAAGCAATATTGATACAATTATATCTGCAGGTATTACGAAACTTTTTATTAACGAACCTTGTTCATTAGACTGTTTGAAAATTAAGTTTATTATTAATTAATTAAAATTCCTTTTAACAACTCAACTGACAGATGTATAATTGTCAAATCAGTCAATAGTAATGTTTATAAAATATGTATTATATTTTTTATTTTATGATTATGTGTGCAATGAAGGTATGAAGATATCGACAAAGATTTAATAAACTATTAATTTATCTATTTTTATTTTCAGGTTTCAGTGGAATAGTTCTGTTTGTATAATCAGAAATTTACAAAATGGTTTACGACTGTGGGTCCTTTATGGCCAAATATGTGCTTTGCATATTCAATTTCATCATATTCGTAAGTAGAACAATTTATTTTTATCCGTAGTAGACAGACATTTATTTTGGAGTTGTTGATAATAATTGGTAGCTTGTATTTTGCTTCTTCTTCCTTGTATACTTACTTATACATGGTGATTTCACTTTAAGTAGGTACATAAACTGCAGGAATATATTAGTTGCCAAAATATATGAAGAGTTTGCTCTATAAACTTTTTCTGGGGACGTGGTATTCGAGATACAGGGTGTTCAAGTTTCCAAAAAATTATATTTTCTGTCATATCTTCATATTGCGCTGAACTATTTGAATGAAATTTACTGCAGCGTATTCACTTAATTAGACCTTTTATTGAATGTAATATTAACCTTGTGGCGTTAACCAGTGGCGTGCTACTTACTTAATTACTTACTCAACCTATTTGCTAATGTTATTTTATTATTTAGTTTGATATTTTTTTTCAGAAATAAAATAATTTCTACAAAATGACACCACTGGCGTATTGATTTCTTGGGAAAAGTTGTCGAGTGCTTTAGTAGCACGTCACTTGTTAGAACCAAAAGATTTTCATGAAATAAAAGGATTAATTTATTAGGAAAATTCAGTAAAACGTAAAAATAAGCCCAAATATTTCCTAAACTGCTGCTACTATTAAAAAACACCAAGAAACATTTTTCATTCATTTAACGCAACAGTATCTGAATATGACATTATTTTTTTCTACCGCTAGTGGCGTATTTTGTTCTTAGGAATTGGGGCGGCACCCGCAGTAGAACGCGGTTAAAGCCGCGAGATTAATATTACATTCAATAAAAGGTCTAATTAAGTAAATACGCTGTAGAAAATTTAATTCAATTCCGTCAACGCATTATGAATATATGGCAGTCCCGCAGGAAAAAAGTTTATAGAGCAAACTCTACTTATTTTTCGGTAATGAATCTAGTCCTGAAGTTTCTGTATTTAAAGTGAAATCACCCTGTATAATGCTAATGTTACTTACATATGGTTAAGTGTAACACCTAGACAAAGTCTATATAAATTGTGTTCTTCGAACACATTATATGCACTAAAATCGATAGCTAATGTGTACCATTGTCATTATTACAGTGGTCAGATAATGGTAGCAATTTATGAGAAATGTATATTTTTACTGAAAATCATTAGGTATACTCGTACAAATATTTCACGTACAGGGTGATTCACTATATTTTGACCCCCCTTTAACTTTTTTGTTTTGAGAGTTATAAAAAAATGTGAAATATAAAAGTTTTTATGAATTTTTCGAAAATGATATTTGGATAGAACGTTCCCTGTCGAACATAGTCATGTAGGGTTTGTTGGGTCCATCGCTAACAATAAGCGAGATACTATTAAAAAACGAAAAGAAGGTTTTTTATTAAGAAAATAAGACATCTTGTAATTGTTAAACCTTTTTCAGGCATTTCTGCCTTTTTCCAGTTACGTAAGGGTTTACAGATTTAGTTGTAATATATTTTGACAGATCAGACATTGATATGGTCCAAAATGCATATAGGTATTTTAACTAAATCTCACTAATTAGGCCGTGAGATGCCTAATTACTCATGGACAATGTTATAAGGTAGGCTGTGACAGTGACAGGTAATGTCATGACAACATTGTTATTGTTTGACAGTTTGTATTATTATTTAATAGGAATTAAAATAGAGCAAAGTTCTTCTCCATACTCTATTTTAATTCTAAATAATTTTCTACTTCTGTGTAACTTATTTTAATTAAATAATAATACATACTATCAATCAATAACAATGTTGTCAAGACATTACTACCTGTCACTGTCACGACCTACCATATAATGTCCATGAGTAATTAGACCTCTCACGGCCTAATTAGTGAGATTTCGTTACATTACCCATACGCATTTTGGACCTTATCAATGTGTGATATATCAAAATATATTATAACTAAATCTGTAATCATTACGTTATTGGAAAAAAGTTAGAAATGCCTGAAAGAGGTCTAACAATTAAAGGATGTATTATTTTCTTAATAAAAAACCTTATTTTCGTTTTTTTAAAGTGTCTCGCTTATTGTTAGAGATGGACCCAACAAACCCTATACGGCTATGCTCGACAGTGAACGTTCTATCCAAATATGTAAAAATATACAGTGTTCCATTTAACTTAACAAAGTTAACATCCGCGGCCATTTTGTTTGGACTTCATATATTTTTCTACTATCATTTTCGAAAAATTCATAAAAACTCGTGTAACTTTTATATTTCACATTTTTTTGTAACTCGTAAAACAAAAAAGTTAAAGGGGGGTCAAAATATAGTGAATCACCCTGTACATTGTGTATACCCTTATTTTAAAACCAAACTTACTACTACCAACTTTATAGAACCTTTTTCGTCTATTGGACAAAAAAATATAAGCGTTGTTTACCTAATATTTAGCCTAAGTAGACTGTATTTCACTGAGGATGTGTGGGTTTAATAGAATAATTTGATAGTGACGCATGACAGATCTTTGTAGATTTTAATCTGAAATATTTAAAATTGTAAATATATTTTAAAGTCGACAAGATCACAACTTGTTTGTCAACTATGTGAATTTATTAGTCATTTACTGTCTCCAGGTAAAAATAAAAATTAGACAAATAACACTGTAATTCTTTAAACAAAAAGAAATTCCAGAATAAATAATATTTCATTAAAAAATATAATTGTTTTACATTTAAAACCATGACTTCCAAAGTGAACTCCATTACTCTTTGTCAGGTACAGCTATTGGGAATACCTTTAATAAATAATTCAGAACCATATGGGAAATAAAACTAGACACTATTAACCCAGTGTCGCAGTTGCAACTCGCGTGATTATTACTGTATTTTTTTAGCTATTATAAAGGTACGTGTTCCTGCATAAACATAAAATCGTGTAACATGCAAACAATCCGGTTATTAATGTTGTGCATGGTAATTTATAACGAAACTCGATTTTTCTGTCAGGGGGTTAAATTAAAAAATAAATGTTGAGTTTTGATTATTTGTTATACACATCAACGTGTTTTTTCTGATTTTTTAAATCGAAACTTCTCTATTTCTTGACAGCTTTTAAAAGAACAAATATTGGAAAGGGACTTCCATCACTGTATTTTTTTAATAACCCCGGTGGCATTGTCTTATCGTTGAATGACATTCAGGAAAAATATAGCACATATTTATAATACCTTCATATACATTCAACTTATTTATTTCTACTGTTTTCATCTAGAGAGTAACACTAACAGTTCATTGTACTAAATAAGGATTAATTTGACTAAAGCTGAAAAAAAATAGTCTAATCTGTACCTAATTTGGATTACAGTTTTTATACAAATCATACTAAATTGATTGTTATTTTCCAAAAGTCTAGTGATCAAGAAATTTCTTAAAACTTCATACAATAACTACTTTTTACAAAAATGTTTCTTGTGCAATAGAAAAATGGTACAATATTTTTAGTCCCTCCCTTATTGCTCTATGTGTAGGTAGGCGACATCGTTGGGTTTATAAATATTTCTTTCAGAAGAAACAAGGCTATCAACACTACCCGAAGACCTTGTATTAATTGAATAGTTGTGTCTCTGCTGATAATCTAATCCACAGGTATCTTGTACAAGCCCAAACTGTGTCAATTTGACATGTTTTGTGACACCTACACAATTTATCTAAAGATTGATTTTATCATTCCATAAACATGTTTGTTTAAAGAATATATTATTTGAACCTAATTTACCTAGATACCAAAATGCACCCCTAATAAGTTACAGCCTCTTAAAATTGAAATAAAAAAATAAAAAGTAAATTTTTTTCAAATTTGACCACGACCAATGCTAATAAATAGCTACGTTTTGACGTACGTACGCTCTTCATTTCATCCTGTCCCTGTCCATGTTTTGATGGCTGGACAGATAATGTAATTCTTAAAGTTTTTTCCCTTGACAATTTTTGCGTCCAATATTAAACGAGCAAATTAGAGCGGATTCATCGCACTTCATTTAATATTGTTAATTAATATTATTAAATAAGTTTAAAGTAGGATGTTTAAAGCAAGCTTATTAAAACTATTGAAAAGATTACTGATAGTAGTGTTAATAACTAAGGGTGTTAGTTTGCTTAAAATATTATACTTATTTATAAAAACTTCTAATTTAGTTTATAGAAAAATGACAAATTTTATATACTTTTAGTGAATAGGCATATACACTGTAAAAAAAATCCGTGTGAGTGAAAGCAATAAAGGTGCGGAGTGAATCTATTGAGTAAAATTATTGAGTACATTTTCACTCAATATTGAGCATTTTAATAATTTTACTCATTTGTGATAATATTTAAACTAAAACTGAATATTTTCACTCGTATTTGATACACTTGTACCTAAATCGGAGTAATTGTCCTCCTTATTGAGTGACTCCACCCCATTCTATGGTTGTCGTGTGTTGTCTTTGTCTATGCCCATCATCCCCATTAGGTCATCTCGTGGCGTGGTGTACGGCGGCGTGTAGTGCTGGACAAGTGTCTGATAATCGGTTATTTTGATGGCAATTGTGTTTAAATGCAGTGGTTTGATTAAAATAATTAAAAACAATAGGTAATATATTGAGTCCCGATTAATATTTCGTTAAGTAAACGTATACTTAGTATACTTACTTCCGTATCTGTAACGTACAATAAAAGTTATGGCAATCTATTCCGATGATCAATTATTTTAATCGAAACCTAAGTATCTATTATCTCTAAAACAGATCTATCTAGAAACACCACTGTGGCAGCTTAGAAGTTTATGACTTTAATACAATGATATTTAAATTAAAATTTAAAGAGAAGAAGAATGTTACAAGTGTTAAACAGAAATCGTAATTTCTCTAACCTTCTATTATTTATTGATGAAGCAACTTTTACAAGAAATGGTATTTTTAATACCCATAATATGCATATCTGAAGTAATGAAATCCTCATGAGATGTGCAAAATCCACCAGCAGCACACAATCACTCT